GTGCTTTTAATGTTGAAATGTTATTGAAAATTTTCCCGCAGGTCTTGCAAAGGTACAGCTTTTCACCTGTGTGGGTTTTCATGTGGGCCATCAAGCCACCCCTCTGTCCGAACGATTTCCAACATGTTTTGCAAGAATACGGCTTCTCACCTGTGTGGGTTCTCATGTGATCATTCAAGCCACCCTTCCGTCTAAAAGATTTTCCACATGTTTTGCAAGAATACGGCTTCTCACCTGTGTGGGTTCTTATGTGGTCTTTCAAGTGACCCTTCCTTCTAAAAGATTTCCCACATGTTTTGCATGTATACGGCTTCTCACCTGTGTGGGTTCTTATGTGGTCTCTCAACCCACCACTCTGGATAAAAGATTTCCCACATGTTTCGCAAGAATACGGCTTTTCACCTGTGTGGGTTCTTATATGTGTTTTAAATGCTGAAAGATCATTGAAACTTGTCCCGCAGGTCTTGCACAGGTACGGCTTCTCACCTGTGTGGGTTCTCATGTGGACTTTTAAGTAACTGCTACTTCTATATTCTTTTCCGCATGTTTTGCAAGAATATGGTTTCTCATTTGTGTGGACTCTTAAATGAATGTTCAATTCTGATGTGTAACTGAATCTTTTTCCACAGCTGCCGCAAGAAAATGGTTTCTCATCCCTGTGAATTCTCAGTTCGTTCTGCAATATTGAATTCAAGTTACAATCTTTTCCACATGTGTCACATTTTAAAGAGATTTTACCTGTGGGAGGATTATGGTGTTCTGGCTCTGCATCTCTAGTTGATCCTGAGTCTTCATGCTCGCCTCCTTTCTGATCTTGGCTCTCAGCTACATGACAGCTGTGAGAGAGGAGCTGGTGGTCACTTTTCAGTTCTGCTTCACTGTGGTCTCTTTCCTCATAAGTAGGAGTCAACATAAAGGTATCAGTCTCCTGCTTCAGTACAAGCTGCTCTCCCTCCTGACTGGTACAGAGTTCCTCCTGTTCCTCTTTAATCTGTGGAGGCTCTGGGTCCTCTTGGTCCAGACTGGAGTTCCTCTCCTGAATAAGAGCTGCTGGTCAGCCAGAACCTCCTCCTCCTTCCAGACATGTTGCTGTGGGAGCTCTGGAGGGACAGAGAACAGAAGGAACAGGCTACTACTGGGATGGGAAAGAGTAACGTTGCCTGTATATAATTAAACAATTTGGATAATATATAATCTTTTTCTGTTGTGTCATTAAAATAATGAAGTTTTACACACCTATCCTGTGTAACTTTACTTCGGGTTTCCAAACGATATCCAGCAGTCTGCGCTGACGATCGATCTCTTCTTCGTACTCGACGATAGTTTTTATAAAAACTCCGAATATTTCTTCAGCAGCAGCAGTTAGTCGCTCGTTGACAAACTCTCTCAAACACTCAACTGAAGACATTGTTAATTAATTACAAATGAAACAATTAGAGGTGCTACGAGTGCAATAAAGCCTTCTAATGAATTCAATATATGCAGCTAACACTGGCGCTTGGTGTGTTTACTTCCGCTGAACGTCACAGTGTCAAGTTCCGACAGTGGAAGTGCTGGAGCTTTTCTTTCCGCTTTCAACTGATGGCATTTTATACAAAACTTACTCTTTTCTGAACTACTATCTCAGCTCTTCTTCTGCATGTATTAGCAGTCCGTCTTCTTTATGTATGTCTATGTTCATGTAGTTATACAATACATTGTATAAATGTATGTATGCCTGCATGTATATATACTTATGTAGGGGAGACCGGGTATGGTTGTAACATGGGGAGAGTTGTAACAACACCAATTCCACCAAACACAGATAAGATAGGAGTTAGATGATCATTTCAGTATTTTCCTACTTCCTCCCCAATCAGGCATGGTGGTTATCAAGTCTGGAAACAGGTATAATCAGAATATATAGAGAAAAAAACTGATTTTGAGGTATGAAAGTAAATTTTTTGACCAAGACTATATTTTGTTTAGGATCTATACTATTGCAGATATAATTGTTTGACTTATATTAGATTGAAATATAGTTTCTCAGGCAACATGTGATGCATTTTTTCCTTTCTAATTTCAAACCATTATGGTAAAACAGCTAGCTAATCATTGGCTGACAGGGGTAGGGTGGGTTGTAATACTTATTTAAAAAGTGTTACAACCATCCTCTATACCGGAGGTCACTAATAGGCGGGCCGCGGTCCGGATCCGGACCCAGCCGCTGTCATCTCCGGACCGTCGAACTACAGCCGATTTTTTATTGAGACTTACTACCTCGTGATGGAGCGTTTCTATTTTAATCCGCGCAGCTTTTCTAGCATTTACTGTACTGGTTTAGCGGACCAGGAAACTCACAGACCAATCGCAAGCCAATCAAATCTGTGCATTCCGATGCTTGCAAGTTGAGTCCGCAAGATTCACCAGAGACTAGTGAGGCAAGTTCGAGTCTTTTGACAGACTCGTTAATTCAAATCTCGTTCATTAAAATGAACTATTCTTTTTTTGAGTCATTTCGTTCATTTCATTCATTTGAACTAGGCTGGTTATTGTGGCGCTGCAGCCCTCTAGTGGGCAATTAAAAAACAGCGCCGTTCTCAAACACGGGAGGCTGCCTGGCTTGCTTTATTTGACAAAGAATAATGCACAAATTCACCTCTTGATTACTGTATATCATCATTACATCAACCCTCCAGGGCCCACTACCAAATTCAAATCATGTAAAAACCACAGAAATATGTTGTAAATATGTAATCACCACTACCACGGCTAAATCCTTCCATTTTCACAATCTTTCCCGAGTATACAACCAGACCAGCCATATAAAGGCTTATGGATATAATTACTATCATTATCTCTGAAGTCCACATTCATACAGCAGCCTAACATCCCTATCCATGAGTAAAATATATTGAAGTAATAAGCTTGATACACTATATGAATAAACACACTCTTATTAAAATTCAACCAATTTAATAATAATCTGGATCAAGCCACCAAGTTCTTTCTCCAGCACAGAGAGAGGAACAGAGAAATAAACACATATAAAAGCAGCAGTTTGGCAATTCTGGACGCAGGATGGGCCACATCAGGTCCGGATTCTGCAGACAGAGAGAAACAAACATCACTTAGCACAACATCACTGCGCTGTAATAATAATGCTTTATTAAATTTCACATAATTAACAAAATATCTATATAATGTCAGTCCAGTGACTGTTACCTGACAGCCGACCTGCCTCTCATTCTCCAGCGCTGGCAGTCACTCAGCCTGCCGAGTGAACGAAAGACTGAGGAGGAGCCATGTGAGCGGTGAACGAGTCGTTCATTCCTTCTCCACAGTAGGAGCTGTCACGTGACAAATGAACGACTCAGACCTACTGACCCACAGTTGAGAGTCGGGAACTAATCAATTCTGTTTCCTGTGCTGCCTGCTTACCACAGCCTGTAGCCGAGCTGTCATGTGACAAATGAACGACTCAAACAGACCCACAGTTGAGAATCGTGAACTAATCAATTCTGTTTCCTGTGCTGACAGAGCCCTTGCAGCTGCCGTATGACGAGTGAACGTAAGAGTTCAAGATCCTTCACACATGCGTGAAATTGAACGAATCACTCACTGAGACAACCATTTCCTCCCGAGTCATTTACTCTAGCTACAAAATTCAGTGAGTTATAGTTACTGAAGCAAAAAGTGTTACAACCATACCCGGTCTCCCCTACTGGAAAGACAGCATATGCATTTGTTTGAGAATGCATGTATGTGCAAGTGCTACCATTAGATACTGTATATGTGCAAGTGAAGTATTAAATTTTTATCTCGGCAGCTTCTCATAGTTTCAGGGCATTTATAGATCCATTTATGGCAAACTGTGGGAGTGGAAATGAGGCTTGTGCATGTTAATACAGTTAGTGAGATTTTCAAAACAGAACCATATAAACCTGATTAAAAAATGCTTCTGTGTAATTCGGTTTTGTGCGTACAGAGTATTATTATCTGGCCACAGGTGAGAGAACATTGTACATTAGAGGGGAGAAATACAATAACAGTTCATTTCTAGTGGCATGTGATTTCTGGAAATTGCTGAGCAGTCAGCCTATAGTTTACAATTTTATTCTGAGGCAACTGATTTTTTAATTAACAACCTCAGACAATAATGGTACAATTATTACAATCTCAAATTGTGCAGCAAAGTTTCATGCAACTGACACATGACAGCTGCTCCAACCATTATTAATTGATCAGTGAAACAGAATATTGCATTCTAGGTGACCTAAAAATGTTATTGTGTATTGCCTTTTGGTGCAAAAATAAACAACGCAATATACTGTATATCTATCAAAGATCAAAAGAAAGTATTAAGTTTCCAGTGGTCAAAGGGAATGGAAATGCTGCTGAGCAGAGACGTACAGTATCCTCTAACCACAGAACAGCACACACACTTTAACCAGGTCATGCATCTCAGTGATACTTTCAGTTTGTCTCTGCCATTTTAAACTTGTGCCTCGTGTCCTCTTGTTCATGTTTGGTGTAACCTTCCAGTGTGTGTGTTGGAAAATGACTTGGCTTACTGGACCTATGGTGCTGTTGTTGGTGACTTTCTGTGTGGCATCTGCCCCAGAGAAAGGTTAGTAAACGAACTTTGATATTTGGGCTTCACATATTGTTGGTTTTCTTACAATACATGGTGATTGCTGGGAGAAATCTTAAGGGGTGTGATTAGAAGGCTAATTATACTGTAGACCATGTATACAAATTATCAGACTAATGATACGTTTGATCTGAAATGGTTTAACTGGTTAAAATTTTGTTTGTAAAGAACACTGGCAGAAGGGAAACAATCTCGAAACCATGAGTGCAGTAAATAAAAACTCATATGTATATAATAGTGTGACTTAGAAGTTTTGGAATGACAGAAAATGTCTAAATGTGTGTAGTAATTAAAGTTTCTATCCAAGAGAGCATTTAATATCTATTTTTATATATTTGTCATACATCCCTATCTAATCTCTAATCTTTTTTTTTGCACAAGATGGTGTTGTGTGTGTGTTTATACTGAACATGTGTAAGTGCATATGGTACACTACATGTGTACTGTAAATTCCTATTACTTAATAGAAGAACCATGTGGGATGCTCTGCTGAAACATGCAGCATAGAGAAGAACTGCAAGTGAATATTACTTCTGCACCTCAGGTTTAAAACATTTCTGTAAACTCTCATAACATATTTGCTGACAAAAGCCTCAGTGCAGCATGTTATAGACTTTATATGCTTTTCATCTACACATCCACATTAACTTCAGTCATGCATTTGCAGTATCCTGTTACGTTTTTAAGTGATTTAATAAGTAATCAGAACAAAACCAGGAGAGAGCAAAACATATTAGAGAACACGTAAACATGAAACAATCAGAAGTGACTCAGTTTGCTGCTAATAAACACTTGGTGGTTTCTGCTGAAAATCCTTTGCAGCACAAAACGTGATCCACAAGTTTTCTGTTTGTGTGAAAGAAAAGAATGAGAACTAGGTGTAACTCAAACTGCATTACCAAACTTTTAAAGAGAGAAGACATTACAATCCAGCTAATTTGTGAGATTAACAGATGATCTTCAGGAAGTGTTGTATAATCACAGCAAAGAAGACAAACTTATTAAACAACTGAAAAACAGAATCTGACCTATTGTCTCTTTTAATTGCCCCTGTCTACTTTAGCTCACCCAACTTAGCAGTGTCTCCAACCCAATAAACCCCAAATCCAGCATAGAGCGGCTGAGTGAATGTGGTCTGGACTTTGTGAAGGAGAGTCATGGTTTCAGAGATGCTATAGAAAGACAGAGTTCCTGCCTTGTAATCCAGGTACACTCCTATTCTGGAGGACTGAGGGCCTGAGAGTGAAGTTCTGATATTGTTATGTCTGAAATAATAAGTAATGTCAAAACATCCTAGTGCCCAAGACATGTCATTGTTTCCAAATCCACTTTCATTCCCTGTTCTGCTGATGTCCTTGTATGCAACAGCTACTGAAACCCCTCCGCTGCTTCTCTCCACCTCCCAGTAAGAACGTCCAGTCAGACTCTCTCTACTGAGGACCTGAAGCCAGTCAGTGAATCTATCTGGGTGACTGGAATATAATTGCTTTTCTCTCCTTACTGTTGCTTTTCTGTTGCCTCCAGATAATGACAGCCAGATGTTAACTGTGTTGGGATCCAGAGTGATTTGACGGGAATATTGTAAGAATTCATCTCTGGTCTTGGGCTCTGGTTGTGGCAGTAAAACATCTACTTCAGTCACTTTTAGTGAGATCTTCAGCCATTCCTTGTTGAAAATGTCCTGTAGTTTTTCTCGGGCCTCTAACAAAGCTGCTATCACGTCTTCAAAGTATTGCAGAGGCTGGATATTTAAACTGGGTGAGTCTGTAGATTCACTGAGATGTGACTGCAAAGGGTAATTCAGAAGGAACTGGATGTCATCAGTTTGTGAGAGGCGCTCCAGCTCAGTGTCCTTCCTTCTCAGCTCAGCAGTCTCCTCCTCCAGCTTCTCCTCAAGCTCTGTGGCCCGACTAACTTCGGTCTTCTGCTGGGATCGGATTTGTTCCTTCACAACAGAGCTTCTTTTCTCTATGAGACTGACAAGCTCAGTGAAAATCTTCTCACTGTCCTTCACTGCTTTATCAGCAGAGCGATTGATAGCCTCTATCTCCTGCTGTAGCACCTTCACATCTTTCTCTGTGTCCTGGATTCTGCGCTGGATTTTTTGCCGAATCATTCCAATCTCCCTCTGCTTCTCGTTCCTTTCTACTGCAGCTGAGACTGTGTCGTGGTCTTTATGGTCATCCATGGCGCACAAAATACATATTATCTGCTGGTCGTTGCGGCAGAAAATCTTCATCACCTCATCATGACGAGAGCAAAATTTCTCCTGCAGATTTTCGGAGGGTTTGATCAGCTTGTGTTTCTCAAAGGCAGGGGATTCATAGTGAGGCTGAAGGTGGAGTTCACAATAAGAGACCCGACACACCAGACAGGACTTGAGGGCTTTCAGCTTTCTCCCAGTGCAGAAATCACAGGCAACATCTCCCGGTGTGGCATAGCAGTGATCAACAAGAGCAGCTTGAAGTCTTGTCTTCTTCAGCTCTTCCACTAAATCAGCAAAAGTGGCACTTTTCACCAGGACAGGTACCGGTGTGAAGGTCTGACTACACTGAGGGCAGCTGTAGATTTTCTTTGGATCCTCTTCATCCCAGCGGCTTTTAATACAGCTCATGCAGTAGCTGTGCCCACAGGGAATAGTCACGGGATCGTTTAGTAGGTCCAGACAGATAAAACAGCAGAGTTTTTTCTGGACTAGCTGCAGCGCCATTTCACTTCACACTAAACTTGAATGTACAACACAATGAAAATATTAAAGAGACTCTCTGAGAGGGAAGAGGAAGTGGTAGTCAGGTTTTGCAACATTCCAGTAAGAGGAGTGGTTTCAAAGGCGTGCCGTGTATTTAGTCCCTCTTTACTCAGTGGTTTGGAATGGAACCTCAGTATTATGAGAAAGTTGATAAAAAACAGATTCCCTAAGGAAAACACTGTTCAGCTCACTTTTCAGTTGGCAAATTAGTTCTCCAATGGATGTAAGCAGGTCTATATCAGAAATGATTATATTGATTAATTGAGTTAATGTGATTTAGACAAAGTGGAAACTGTCTAACAACTATTTTGGATTTTCCTTCACATCGTTTCTTTTTGGCTCTAGTTCAGGTCATTTACCCATCAAAAAGCCTCCATCCTGCAAGAGGCTCATCAGTCAAACTGTCCTGTGAGGTAAATTACGACTTCAAGGAATGTGATCTGCTGTATGCTGGATGGGGTCTGGGCACTGCTAAACTGACTAACCCCAGCAAGTACTTCACTACAGTAAATGAGACAGACTCTGGTGGCAACATGAGACGCAGGCAGGTCGTGACAGAAATTCTTGACCTGACACCAAACGACAACGGGCGCTATCAATGCGTGGCTGTATGTAACAGTTTGGACGATGCAAGAGGACATTACATCTGGATCACTGTCAAAGGTATTGTCTTTAATAAGAAAATGATATTAACTCATTACATTCATACACTCATGCATGACATTTTGTACAGTCATTCATGGTCCTGAATCCTACTTAATTTCTTAAACGTGCCTTCTCATTTCCTACTTTCCATGGTTTGTCAGTTAAATGCAAAATGGCCATTAACAGTAGATGCACACTTGTTCTGCTCTGTTACGTTCTCTTGCAGGTTGATGATCTGACTGAGCTGGCTCTGTTCACAAAAGATTCAGATGTTCCAACAAGTTCAGTGCAACAAGCTATATTTTCCAAAAGCATTTTGAGACAATCTTTGTTCTGTTTGGGTTTTGTTTTTGATTCTTTGTTTCATCACCTATTGTAACTGCTTTAGTGGCGTTTGCTCAGCAGATTAAAGATCTATAATTTCACTCTGTCATTGTGTTATTGATATTAATTATATCTAATTTGCTGAATTAGCCAAAACAGACTGTGTTCCTATGTCTAGGTATTATCAATTGACAATGTCTTAATTGATTTTCCAGAAAATGTGTTATATCACATACAGGTATAGAACAGTACAGGAACAGTACATACAGAATTTTGTTCATATTACCCACCCCTAACTTGGACAAAAAATATTTGGTTCTATGCCCAAAGTCAGAATAATATGGAAATACAATTTTTGATGATCAAGATTGTTTTGGGGGAACAAAGACCAATGCATATTTTTTAAGTGAATACTGAACAAATAAAAAGTATCACAAGTTAAAAAGCTGACTGTGTCAAGGTGTGAAAATTCACTGCAAATGTCAAGTGCTAAAATTAGTCAAAGGCTGCAACTTGTTAGTAGCACTGTGAGCTGTCTGCCCTCATACAATTTCCTTCACTTGGTTTTGAGGTCTGGACAACCTCAACAAGAGAGAACAAAGCAACATCTGTAGAAGAAACAGCAAGAAGTAGCACATTAGAGTCACATTAAACAATGCTAATAGTCCCCATAAATCACAGGAGTCCTTACTTTATTAGAATCAGTTAAGGTTTCCTTGCTTTCAAATGCTTTTTATTCTTTGTACAAATTATTAAATGTCAAGCATTGATTGCAGTGGTAAAAAAAAAGCCAAAGTAACTGAAACTGTTGTTGCATTGCTATCATTCCCAAATATAAACTTTCTATTTCAACATATGCCTACATTTGTTTTACATCATACAAGTGGAGGGTTGAACAAGCCAAACCACAGAACAGGAAACTGCTCGGTTAGAGTTTGCCGCTTTTGCAGGTTGGGAGTTAAAAAAAGAAAAAGTTACATTTGTGATTAGAATAATCATTTTAGCCATACTAGCCGTGTGTTGTTCTAATATTTCTCACTTTTGAATTAATCGTTATCCAGAATCAAAAGAGGAAATGCAACACATGACTTCACACCCAGACACACTGTATGTTATAATATCGTGGTGGAAGGTATTATATAATGGATTCAAATGAGTCCTTGTCAACAGAGGAGCACTGAGATACCAGATACGTTATCAGCAGATTAAAGATCTATAATTTCACTCTGTCATTGTGTTATTGATATTAATTATATCTAATTTGCTGAATTAGCCAAAACAGACTGTGTTGCTATGTCTAGGTATTATCAATTGTGTCTCAATTGATTTTCCAGAAAATGTGTTATATCACATACAGGTATAGAACAGTACAGGAACAGTACATACAGAATTTTGTTCATATTAGCCACCCCTAACTTGGGCAAAAAATATTTGGTTCTATGCCCAAAGTCAGAATAATATGGAAATACAATTTTTGATGATCAAGATTGTTTTGGGGGAACAAAGACCAATGCATATTTTTTAAGTGAATACTGAACAAATAAAAAGTATCACAAGTTAAAAAGCTGACTGTGTCAAGGTGTGAAAATTCACTGCAAATGTCAAGTGCTAAAATTAGTCAAAGGCTGCAACTTGTTAGTAGCACTGTGAGCTGTCTGCCCTCATACAATTTCCTTCACTTGGTTTTGAGGTCTGGACAACCTCAACAAGAGAGAACAATCAATGCATATCTTGGTAATGTAAGTATATCTGACAAATAGTTATGGAATAAAATGTCTTCCTATACAAGCTGACAGAAAATGTCCAAGTAATACTTTACAAAGAAAATAATTTGATTACGAGAATATTCGGGGTACAGGTCTGATACTGTTTCATGGCTCTGCTATGAGCCTCTTGTGTTTCCCACAGACTGTACAAGAAGCTTGTGAATAACTATCATGAGTTATGGATGGGGACTGACAACAGGAAATCTAGGGGTTAATATGGATGCACTGTGTGCATTGTCTTGCAAGCTAACCTAAGCTTGCATGCACTTTGAAATCAATGTCACTTTTTGTGGACGCTGTATCACACTGAGGTTAATGTTTCGGTTCTTCTACACTGTAACTTACTGACAGTGCACTGTCAAATCAGAGAAGATGAAACATTTAGGGATTGTGTCATTGTCATCTCGACTGAATACATTCCCTGTTAAATCAGTAAATATGTTGCTAATACATCTGCAAAATATTATCAGCTGATACTTAACAATGAACCAGCGCGGAAGCGTGACATTTTTATATACTGTAAAACTGCACCATGTGGGGAAGTCCTAGGCTAATGGCCACAACGCCTCCTGTTGATTCTGGCTGGGGACTGTTGCTGCATGTCATAACCCTCTACATCCCCATGTTTTCTGTCTGTTTCTATACAGACACTAAGACACTTGAAAACCACCTAAAATCTTGATTTGTTTATTTTTGAAAAAGTCACAATGTTGATGTGGGTTGCAGCATAAATAATTTTACATTATTCAGACCATAATCAGGATGCAATACTGTAAACACTTAGACGAAGTTTGAAATTTGATGGTGCAGTTGAAATTGTTTTTTCTTTGTCAGTAGATATAGGCAAAGATGGAGAAAAGCATTACAATAAATTCACACAAAATTACAAGTACTCACAATGTACAAAAATGATCACATTATCTTAATATCAGGGGAAATACATGGTAGAGGAAATTATACCAGAAGCAAATCATAATAGATAAAAGGTTTGGCAGCTCACAGAGAAACTGATAAAGCTCACATGGTGATCGTACAGGCTGATCAAAGTTTCACGAAGGCAGTGAAAAGGAGTTTAAACTTACCTGAACCACTCAATACTGTTCACAGAGACAACAGGGCTTTGCTGAACATTCATGTCATGTTGGCATTTTTGTGCCTCAGGTTCAAATAGTTCCACATGTAAGATCCCCAGTACAGGCACCTCATGCTGTGATGTGTCAGTGAGCCAAAAGGGCAAAAGACCGCAGTCGATTAGTGGGAGGAGGCACAGTTCTACCTGATCCACTTGTATCACCCTCATGTTTTTTTGCCATCCAATTCCATGTGGACATTTCAGTCTCATTTTTCCCGGCACCTTTTGGAGATTTAAGAAAGGGCAGACACAGGCCAAGTGACATCAGTGCTCTATGACTGGCCAGGCTTAATGAATTTGCTCTGCAGGAACACTCTGGGAACACATAGCCCCTCCTTTTTGTTGACCGTCTCTCTCAAGACGTAGTCATTAGCAACAGATTGGAGGCCCGTGTCTGCAAACAGCTCAGCCAGCAACTCTGAAAGCAGACAAAAAGAGAAGACTAAGACTTCAGAGGGACAGAACAACCCAGGAAAATTTTGACTACTGACTGTTGTGATGGTACGTCACTGTGTCCTTCCCAAGTTGTAATATCTGTACAACCAGCTGTATAATTTACATGATACGTGGTTGAACTGTTGAATCAATAAAATGGTCATTTCACATCTCCATGCTGGTGAAGAAAGCTGAAAAACGCTTGTATATCTTGAGGAAGAGGAACAATAAAAAGCATCCTGATTGGAAACATCACTAACTGGCATTGGATGTGCACGGCCCAGGACCGGAGGGCTCTGCAGCGGGTGATTAAAACTGCTCAGAAGATCATTGGTACCCATCTCCCCAACATCAGTGATATCGGTGAGGTGAGGTGCCTACCCAGAGCCCAAAGGATACTAAAGGACAGTACCCACCCAGCCACAGCCTGTTCACCCTGCTGCATTCTGGGAAGACATATAGAAGTTTCTGCTGCCACACCACCAGACTGCAGAGCAGCTTTTTCCCCAAGTTATCAGGCTCTTAAACTCTAATAATCCTCAGCACTGCTCCATTGAATATAGTTTATTTCTGTTTACAATTTTTATAAATACTTTTTTTCTTTTTATTAATGTATATTGTCTTCTACGTAGCAGAAGGGAATCTAGCTACCTACGATTAGTCACCCCAGGGGAAGAAATATACCTATTAGCTCTTAAAACAAATGCAAACTAGCTTACTGGTAGGTGCAAGTTACCGCTTTTATTTGTGAATCAGACCAACAAATACTGAAATAAAAATGGTTCCCATGTTGAAAAACACATTGACACTGGAAAACATTTTAGCTGCAGTATTAGCTTACTATATCCAAATACTGTATCTATCTATAGTATATATATTCTTCTACATAGCCAGTCCATGCACCTACAGTATAGTAATTAACAACCTACCTATCTATCTCCCAAACAGTCTCAATGGCAAAAACAAACATAAAAGTGACCCTCCTGAAGTCATTTACTGACCTTTAGAGAAGAAGTAGGACCTGGTGCCATCTTGGCGGACGTAGAAGTTTTCCCCCAGCTTGCTGCCAGCTTTAAATCTGAGCATGGCGTGGTCATACAGGCCGTAGTCCCTAAACAGGACGATGCCTCCGGGCTTCACCACCTTTAAGCCAATGAATTTTACATTACACCATTTAAACCAGCTTTTTTATTAGGCCTAACAAAAACAACATAGGAATTTACCACCAGACACATGATTGTAAATTGCTGCCTCGATCTGTAGCAGTCAAATAAAAACAAAACCTATTTCAATCAATCTTCATACCATTTACTTGTACACACACTAGATATTGTGTATATTAGGCGTATAAGGATATAATTGTGTACTTTTAAATGATACAAATGTATTTTAAAATGATCAAGTTGGTCAACTGTTTTCACTGAGTCGTTCCAGCTGGCTGTCTCTGCTCTCACCCTGCTGATGTTCTGCAAAGCCAGCTTCATCTTGTCAGGGTGGACAGCCGACAGGACAAAGATGAGAGTGACTACGTCCACGCTGCACTCAGGCACATTTTCCCTCAGATCATCTTTAGTTAAATCACACTGGAAAGCACAGCAGCGCTCAGGGCAGTACAGAGGGTTTTGCTGTAAACAGAAAGTGGAAAATGTGGGTTTATTTGTATTATTGTGTCATGGGAAGAGATTTGCTGACCTGCTTCACATTTTGCATTCCCTTTAACTGTCCTGTATGACCAGTCTTCTACTTGTGTGAGTGAAACTGAACAGATCTACTGCAGCAGCTCAGCCATATTTTTTTGAGAAAGTGGTGGCCTAATTGAAGGAGCCCTTCAGTAAATTATTATGCCGTCAAATCCTACATGAAAACCACTTGGCAGCCACCAGTGCAAGACTGATTCTGTACTGGTTAGTTAGGTGGAAACGTGTCTTTCTGAGTAAATGTAAAGTAGTGTGTCACTAGAAAAAAAAAGGATCTCAGTTAATGAAATTCAAATTAGAAAAAGGGGATTCACATTTATATTAGAAATAGATTTGATAGATGGACATCTTACTTTGACAAATTCAACAGCTCGTGCTGAGAAGTCACAGGCATAAACAAAGATGTTGAGGTCATCCTCCAGCAGAGGGAAGATACAGTTCCCTACACCGCAGCCGGCCTCCAGCAGCACCAGTTTCTGGGAATCAAACTGCAACACAGGCAGGACAAAGACAGAACTAAAGAATGGCCACAAATATCAGTTTATCTCTTTATTCATGTCTAATCACAGCTCCAAAGGATAACAGATTGTTTAGAAGGAAATACTGACATTTTGGGATTATATATATCATATATTATATATATTACATCTTTTGTAACTGGATCTCCTTTATTCCCGCAGCTTTCTTCACAGTAGTAGGTGGTAATGAACTACATTGTTCAATGATGCATTATATATATATATATATATATATATATATATATATATAACAATTTTAAAATGTATCTAATTTTATTTTCCATCAATCTTCTCATTTTGCAGATAAGAAAAAAAAATTAAATGTAACGTTAGTGCTGAATAATGCAAAACCATATGAGTCTGGGTATTTTAACTCATAAGAAGTAGTCAAAGTTATACAACTCATTACTTAAACAAATATAATGGGATAAAGAGGATAAAATACAAGCTGGTCTCTTGGGATGTCGTGTTGGTTTTCTCATGCAAATGTTCGCAGTGATTCTCACGTGTACTCTCTTCCTCACCTCTCTGCATGCCTTGAGCTCTTCAAATTCTCTGGTGGTCCAGTGTCTGTCCTTGAAGAAATTTGTCGTGTTTCTTTTGTAAAACAAGTCCCAGTTTTTCTGAGCTTCTTTCTCTAACTTCATCTGTTTAAAGTCAGACACTAGAGCCCGCTCACCGCTGAGTCTGTCCAGCTCCTCCTTGGTTAAAACTCTGGCGGTGGAAGTTTTGGTCTGTCCGGGGACACATGGAGACAAGTCGTCTTTTGAACCCACTTCTTCAGGAGGTGTTGTTTTAATATTACCAGGGACACTTTCTTTTTTCGACAGTTCCATGATGGTTTTAGAAAAGCTTGGGTTTTGCTGCCTCCCAGTTTCTGTCAGTAACTTTACTAATCTTTAGTTTACGGGAAAGAAAACATTTTAACAAGCTTGACAGCAACGTACGTCATTTAAATGATAAATAACGCTAAAACTAACTTAGTGATGTTAAAATATTGTGCCTAATTGCATTTTTCCACATTTGGCGTCCATCTTGACCGTCACTTCAATTCTTCCGTGTTGCATTTTAAATTTAATCCGTTTCTTTCCCTGTGCCGTCCGTAGTATCCTTGCTCGTTGCTTGATTAATAAAAAATACAGTACATATTATCATACGTAATTACCTAGTTTGATGTGTAATTCATTTATTCTTTATTCATTGAAAAAGTACAAAATTTCAACGTAACCTGTTTTCGGTGACATTTAATAACCGGACCGAAAGCGGAAGAGGGGTGGCCGAGTGACGACAGGCATGTTTTGCTAACGGTTAGCTACAGTAGGCTAACTTTGTTTGTCTTATAGTTGGCTTCTCATTCTAATCTCCCCGAAGTTGCCAGATGCAGCTTGCCCCTTTGGAATATTTTACCTGAATGTAAATTTATAAATTTTTAAAAACCCAGTCATGAACGGGAGTACGAATCCACTGCTGGACAAAGAAGAGCATGTTTTGAAGCTCGGAGAAAGCTTTGAGAAGAGGCCAAAATCTTCCTTTCACACCATCAGATGTGAGTGTGAAAACCCGTCTTATGTGTTTTTAAAAGGTGTTAAATTAACTGTTGTGTGGCATTAGTTGGCTGCCATGGACGGGCAGGCTGTCTGAAGTCATTTGCATAGAAACATATCGTTACACCCACTTCTGTGTCACTTGTCTTGAGCAGGGATTTTAAAGATGTCACCAAAACCGCAGTGGTACATAGATTTGTGTGTCATCAGCATATTACTACGTCTTTATAGGAAGGATAGTAAAGTGTTATTAAAGAGAAATATGTTGTTTCCTGAACTCTTTACCTGTTCAAAAGTTTGCTGGATGAGCACTTTTGCAAGGATACTATGATTGTGTACACGTCGCTTTCTATTGAAATATGCATAAATAAGGACTAATTTAGTTTGACACAGAAAATAAAAAACATTCACTCTGAATATTTGTTTGGATTTTGTTAGTTTTTTGCCAGGCATTGTACCTTACTGCACACACTTGATGCATACGAAACGTCACCTCTGGTAAACCTCTCAGTGTTTATTTAAACATTGTAAGTGGAAGAGTAAGCAGTGAGTTCAATGCTTCATCAGGCTCTTATCAGTTAGGAAAACAAGTCATAGGCATGAAAATCATGTAATCACAAGCTCTATGTGCAAGAATGTGCCCTGAAACAGGAATACAATCATGTTGCACTACAGACGCTTGGCTTATTACCAATGAATTGACATCGGCAGATATAGTGGCTGTGCAGGGACTTATGAATTTTGTCCTCACGATTGACCTGTACCTAATGTTCTTCTTTTTCAGATGACTTCAAACCGGCGTCTATCGACACAAGCTGTGAGGGAGAATTACAAGTTGGGAAAGGAGATGAAGTTACCATAACGTTACCTCACATACCGGTAAGAATGTCTGTTGTTCTCATCTGGTTTACTGATTAACCACCCTAAGTGAAGTCTTTTTGCAAAGAAAGCAGAAAGCCTGGTTACAAAGTCGCCGGACACTACTCGTATAGAGGATTGCAAGCTGCCGTATGTTGTCAGAAAATCCATTGCTAACAATGAGCAAATGTTTTGCAAAGGATTATTTGAATTTCACTGTTTTGTGAAAAAGGTTGCTGTTTGGTAACTGACTCCATCCATTTTACTATATTAAAGTATGAAAACACATTCATTTAAAAACTGTTGCCAATTTTCTTAGCAACCTGAAATGAACTGAAACACAGTTGTCATGTGAAAGGTAGAGCATCAGTCTAAAAATCTTTGTAAAATAATATTTTTGTATTTAATGGACTAATACATGAAATGTTACTGTCCCTTTAAATATAGACCAGACAGACAGATTGCTCAAATTTATTATAATTGCTACAGACAATTAAAGGAATACTTAAATAATTCGTTGTCCATTATTTTCATTTTGTGGATAGTTTATTTTTTGCATTTCTTCTTCAATTCCCCTAATATTGTATATTGTAATATTGTACTGCAGTGGTCTGATCTCTGACTTTGTGAGATCTGGCAATAAAGCTGGTTTTCAGTTGTTCTCCATATAGTTACAATATACACAAGACAGAGCAAATGTACAGTAAGTTACAAATATAGACAAGAAACTAAACAAAGGCAGAACAGCTAAACAAAGATAAGCAGACGAATATTTAGCTGTTATTCACAAACAAGAGAAATTAAATTAGTAGAACCGAGGCAGCCATCTGCAGTGCCATCTTGTCTATTGTCAGCTGATGGTAGAATTCCTGAATGAAAATAAGATGTTCTTTGAAGAACATCTTATTTTCAAGTCAATCAAGACACCTATTGGTTCAGTTATAATTAATCACTTTGATAAATAAACATTTTAGTTTTTACTGTAAGGCCTTCTAAAGCAAACATAGCTGGTACATATTCACATTATTGTTGTCCTTTCAGGGTTCCACACCTCCCATGACGGTATTCAAAGGAAACAAGCGGCCATACCAAAAGGACTGTGTGCTTATCATTAACCACGACACCGGGGAATTCGTACTGGAGAAGCTGAGCAGCAGCATCCAAGTCAAGAAAACCAGGTGAGCGAGAAATTCGAGCCAATGAAAACATTTTGTGATGCTGAATTTGAGCACTTTGTTGAGAGAGGAAAGTGTAGGACTCTAACCTATGAGCGTATGGTAAGATACATTTGTGTTAAATTTACTTTTATGTTGCAGTTTTGTCACAAAATGCTTTTCTGAGGACAGTTAACTAACATAAAGATAGACTAACATAACTAAGCATGATTGTGGGAAACCTTATTTTTTGTCTCACTTCATTGCTCACAGGGAAAAAGATTTTATTGATTTTAAACCAATGACAATACGAACAGTTTATGTGGTACTTACATTCACAACCTTCAACAACTCAGATAAAAATTTTTATGTCTGCGCATTTTGTTTAGACTTCTTCATCCATTAGAATTGTAGGCATTAAATCCTTTGACGCTTCAGAACTTTTACCTGACATCTTTGGCTTCACCTTTTGGATGTTTGTTATTATTACATCAAATTCTACTGATATTTTCTAAACACTTTGTCTTTGCATTTCGGGGTAATCATTGTGTTTACGTCCCAGCTCACTAGAGGAAAGGGGACGTACACATAAACCAGATGTTTTTGGTATGGTGGAAAAGTTATTTATTCACACGAGAGTTTTTACAAGATTTAAACAACAAAAATTGGGCAAGTGGGTGCCATAAACACAAGATAACAAAAGGGGAGTTCTCCAACTTTCTAACTAACTCAAAAACCAAAATGAAAACAAAACCTCTCTATTGTGGGTGTCTCAAAACAAAACAGGGAGTGCAGCACGCCTAAACCTAATGGACTAAACAAAGAAAATATCCTGAACGCGTTGAGTAGGTTATCAATATTTACTCTAAAACCTGGCCCAACTCTGCAGACACATGGCAAAAAACAACTAAAAATGAGCACAAACACAAGCAGGGAACAGAAGTGATGGCTGCTGGAACAAGCACACAGTATACATACGGTCAGGCTCAATACACACACAGAGTGGTCGGCACAGAGGCAAAACACTAAATGACAGACAGCCCTCCTTTGAATGGCAGTATGACGGCTTTTAAAGTGGCAGACCACAAACACAGCTTGCGGATTGGTGGACAGTCTTAGGGCTTCTCCAATCAGGACCATAGATGTAGACGGGAGCAGACACCAGCCAATCCTCAGCTGGGGATCGCACAACCTGCTTAGCATACTGGGACACACTCACGGGACAGCGGCCTTAACAGTTGAAATTCAACTTCAAGGATATTCTTGCAGTTCAGATCCTGACAGATCAAGAAGATCGGAAAGGATTAACAGCAAGTACATCGGCTTGTTTCAGGGCGGAGGGCAGCAGTAAAATCCAGGCCCGGATCGAGCAGCAATCTGTTCGGTCCAGCCAGCCCAGCTCTCAGTTCCGGGCCCCGACCAAGCCTGGGGCCGGGGTCAAGACCTCTCCATCTCCTTCTAAGGATAATCCCTCCCCAGAGCCTCAGCTCGATGACATTAAGAGAGGTAAGGTGGTCCAGCCACGACCATAGACTTCAATACAAACTTCATCCTAACATAATCACAACACATGGAGAATAGAATATATTAATTTAGGTGGCACTTTACATTAACCCCCATAATTAACCTTTATAATCACAATAAGCAACAATAAACATTGACACTATATAAACGTTTGTTTGTAGATAAACATTTTAAGTGTTATTAATGAACAGTATTCAACTATTATTACTTTTCTTATAAAGACATTTTATATTAGTACAACTGTGTTTTACTCTGCTGTCATTAAAGTAAAGCGTTACCTTATTTTATATTGCATATATAATGTGTTTGGATAAACAGATCTGTATAAATGAGGAAGGGCTGGAATACGAAACAAAACAAAATGTCTTGATGTTAACCCTGCTGACCCCCCCTGCTCTGTTGGCAGAGCTGCGAGCGGAGGTGGAGGTGATAGAGCAGATGAGCAGCAGCGGCAGCAGCTCCTCTGACTCAGCCAGCGCCTCTGGGAGTGGCGACGACAGCAGCAGTGACGGCGAGCACGACACCCCCCGACTGCTCAGCCAACTGTCACCCAACCGCCCCCCCATGGCCAACGGAGGAGCCGACCGGCAGCAGGGCAACAACCAGCTCATGAACACACTCCGTGAGTATCTCATAGTTATGCTTTGTTTCTGTTAAGTCATGCGTGTATTAATTTTTATTCTGTGCTACAGCTTATCCTGTTCAGGGCAACTGAACAGACTGGAGCTTGTCTCAGCATGTATTGGGCGAGAGGCAGAAAAGAGAGGACAATATTTTGGAGCAATTCTCTAATTTCCAATAACATTGTGCCACCACAGCACCTGGCCTTTATCATGTGCAGTTATTAACCATAGACCATGAAAACATCGACATAGAATCACACTGTACTTTTCTGACACAATAAGTGAATAAACAGGGGACGTTTTTGGCTCAGTCCCAAGTCTGGCCACAGCTCACTGTATGTTTGTCTACGTGTAGCACCTTATCACCACAGCAAATTCCTCGTATGTGTAAAACACTTCTTGGCAATAAAGCTCCTTCTGATTCTGATTCTATAATGTAAACAGATACGTGGTTAGCTTACTTGGTAGAGTGCATACCACATATACAAGGCTGTCCTTTGCTGCGCGTCCCCCCCCATTTCTCTCCCTCGTTTCCTATCTCTATCCATTGTCCTGTCTTTCAAATAAAGGCAAAAATGGACAAAAGAATATCTTTAAAAATTTAGTGACAAAATCCATGAATCTGAGCTTTTTCCCTTTTTACACAATTAATTTACACAATTTAGTGACAGTACTAAGGATCATAATTTCCTGTCAACACAGTTGTTATATGTCTGGGTTTTGGGGTTTGAAGGTTTTTGACTCAAAACTGTGGAATTTCACTTGAACTTTCGACCATTATTATCACTACAGAAAACACCCAAAAAGCTTAGACAAAAATTGCTATTGTTAAATAATAATTTTACTATCCAAGTCTCTTTAACCAAGACCAGTTGCTCTTGATTTTAAATTTCCTTGGATATCTATAACCTTCACAGACAATAATTGTATTTTTTTTTACACATATTCATCCGGAGATGAACTTCTTCTAGCAAAGTTTGCCCTGTTTGCCCATTAGTGAAAAACGAAATGAAAATGGTAGATGATTTGTCACTACTCAGCAGGAAACTCTTCAATAAACAATGTTTGACCCGTTTGTCTTCTGTTCTTCACAGGAAACGACCTTCAGCTCAGCGAGTCGGGCAGCGACAGTGATGACGACTGAACATTCTGCGGGTCAGTCTCTCTCTCTCTCTCTCTCTCTCTCTCTCTCTCTCTCTCTCTCTCTCTCTCTCTCTCTCTCTCTCTCTCTCTCTCTCTCTCTCTCTCTCTCTCTCTCTCTCTCTCTTCTCTCTCACACTCCCCTTCCTCCTTTCTGCCTGGTTCACTTGTTTCTTTGCTGTGATAGCTGACCCCAGCTGTATATCTTGGTTTGACTGTATTTTTAAATTTTATTTCAGTATATCCTTAAAGCTGGCCAGCCTGGAACTTGAAGAGTGTATTTTTATTAGATGTATATTTTGTTTTGTATAGCAAAACTTTAGAAAAAGAAACTTATACTTGAGAGGTTTGGAAGATTATATATTAAAGCGCACATACATATTTTCTGTACTTAGAGCAGCTAGTTTTATCTACTTCTATTGTATCATCTGTTTTTGTTTTGTCTTTATGTTAAGACATGGAAGAGATTGTCTTGAAATATCTCTCACCTTGTCCCATCGTTTATCAGAGAAGGTTGTGGGAAGCCTCTCCACATCGACGTGGTGCACAGATCTGTGCATGAGTAATTAATCAAAGAGAAAAAAAACACATCCATTTTGTCATCAGCTTGTCCAGAGTGTAGATCAGTGTGGAGCACAAAACAATCGGCTGTACTCTATGCCTTCCTAATTTTAACTTTACTTTTACAGTTGTAGTTTTAAACTGTTTGCTGGTTATTTTAAAAATGAATCTCACCCTTATTCATTAGAAATGAATAAAGACTGTGGTGTTATTCTCTATTTTTGTTAATGTCAACACATTCCACTAAAAGACCAAAACTGAAAATGTGTGTTAGCCCGTCTACTTTCTGACTTCCTTACTTGGATACACAGTACTTGTTAGGATCAGTTTGTTGTTGGTATTGGTCTTTTAATGGAATTTGTTGATAATAAGAGAGGTTGTCAACCAGTATTGTTCATTAAACACTTATCTAGTTACAAGATCTATCTCACACATCAAAGCTGCTGATGTTAACGCAGCGTTCAGTGATTTATTTACCACTAGGTGGCAGAAAGGACTCAAAAAACAAAGTCACAGACAGCAGACCAGATATGTGTCAGCTCATCATGTTGCTAACGTGTTGAGTGTAAGTCCAGTATCTGGTCTCCACCAACTCTTGGCTACAGCTGTTGTTGAGAACCTCACAAACACAAACATGCAGTCTGCCTGTACAAAAACAATAAGCTAATAACAAAGGCTAAAAATCCCATTTGAGCTGCAAAGTTGGCTGTTTTTGGCATTGTTACCAAATAAAGCCAATGGAGTGTACACTACATGCCCTGCATTAAACAGGGGAGTTGATAAGTTGGTAATTTGCTTCTACAAATGCATTTTCTCAGCTATGCGTTGGTATCGCTGTCATTACTTTCTTCCTTCTTATCCCTTTTCAATGTCACAATACAGCTAACAGACTCACAGTATAACCAGTTGCAGTATCATAGTAGGTTTTCAGAGAATTACTGATGATATTAGACCCTCCACTGTCATTAATTAGTTGAAGATAATCAGTGAAGTCTATCAGTAGGTTAAAAGTTGGGTCTAGAATTGAAATTATACAGGATTGAGTCTGGAAAAAGGAAAAATCCTTTCAGAGAGTTTACAATATATTTTTTTTCAAATTACCACTATTCATTTAAAGTTTGTTGTATCAGTTGTGTCAGTGTTTTCAAACAGATAATATCATATTTTTGATCCAAAATGTTAATATAATACTTCTACCGTGGTACCATTCCATGCCTTACAGCATTTCAGTTTGGAAATAAAGGTGAATGTGTCATTGAATGAAAATGCCAAAGAGTAGAACCGCCCCTCATCGTGTGCAGAGAGCAGGAACATTCACAGTGTAACGGTGTCATGTCAGTGTAAATACTGTTTGTGTTGTGTTGTAGTGAAGTCAGTGATGGTTCCCCTTATCCGCAGGAGCTACTGGTGTTAGTGAACATCATTTGGTGTTGGTTGTACAGTAAATCATTATTAATTAAAGAAACCCTGATGAGTTTCGTTGCAAAATGCAAGTTTAATTCAGTTTTTTTTTTTTTGGAATTAGAATCACATACCTGACCTTTTAAAGGGAGAGTCCCTCCTTATTAATTAGACAACTAATCTGTTGTTATAGTCCTGATCAACTAAGAAATCTTTAGTTGATTTCTTAATAAAGAAGGAGAAGGAGGATCTATCCCCACAGGTGTTTTCACTTATTTTACCTACTCAGACCTCTTCTCCACACTTTGTACTCGAGAGTGTACATAATGTGAGGCTGCAACTCCATTATGAACTAATCTGCTGATTACTTTCTTAATTAATGGGTTAGTTTTGTCTAGTAAAAAAAAAACAACACAGAGCCAAGTTGACATGTTGTCATTTTAATTCAATAATAATTTATTGATTATCGTGCTTGATTGACATCTGCCTCACTCTTCTGTTGCACCTATTAAGGACAAACTTCAACACCCACATTGAATGAAAACACCTGTGTTCGAAAATAGCCCCACACTTTCAATCTTATTGGGCAAAATATCCGTCATTAGCCGTTTAAATCCAAAAATATCTGTATCGAACAACCTGCATCATTCATTGGTGTGTTTTTGGCCGATAAAATTTTTCATTGCAAAGTTTAGAGAATGCCATCTACACTTTTAAATATGTACTTATGAACATAGTACATTTTTAAAACCCAAATGGTTTTATAGCATTTTGAAATGAAACCCTTCTATCACATGTCAAATTCACTTTGGAGAACATTGTCATATTGCTAAAATGATCTGCTGTCATACAAGGTGTAAATGTTGTTTATATGAGCTATAAGATGCCTGTAAACAGTTGATGACCTACCACACAGTTCTCAAAACCAAAAACCGTTTTAAGTATCCTGCTTTGTAACACAAAGTACCAGTTTACTGTGGAAATGAACCATCATCTAGATGCATGACTGTGGACAATTTGTCAACCCCACACAGCCCATCAGTTGTTGTCCTACTCAGTTTTTAACATCCACTGTAGTTGTAGTCAAAGTGGATGCCGAATTGTTAAATGAAGCAGCCCCTGAGGCAGGTGGGCACTAAAGTCACATTTCCTCTATGTGTTCCCTCTGAAGTCTGTAAGACACCTCAAACATTTGAAGTGTATGTGTGTTGTCTTGTGTTGTCGGATGGAGTTTGGTGCTTTAATTCTCCTGTTTTAGTGCTATGTTTATGTGAAATGTGTTTGTACAAATTTGAAGTGTATTAAAAGTGTGCAAATGTATTTAAAAGAATGTTTTCCCTCATCATTGTTAGAATTTGGTCTTGGGTTTTCATTGAGTGTTGGTGAATCAGATTGCTAAAGGGGGCTATGCTTGTAGACGCCATAGCATCGTTTATCAACATGCTTCTCCTCAAAATTGAAACTGTATGTCATTATTGATACGACATAGGGCTGCAAACTGTTTTACTCCTACAAGTTTCTAATGCTGATATAGATTGTTGACATTAGAGCTGGGCAATAAAACAATAATGATAATTATCGGAATATAACCCCCCCCCAAAATAAATGTTTGTTTTAATTTATTTAAACCACGAACAAATTTGTACTTAATATTTCGATTTTTTTTTAAGGGAAAAGGACTGAAAAAAGATTTTACTTATTTTTACTCATGCGTATTTGTTGAATGTTGTTTTGAATGTTCTACCTCAGATTTGTTAAGTGATCCAGTTTGGCATCAAGTGTTTGTCACGTTCTGGCTATAAAGAATAGTTTATCCACACAATTAACCATCTGGTTTCTTCAATTTTCTCTCGGTAGCAAAAATCAGCCTTTAAACTTGAAAGGAAAATTAAGGTTTGACATATACTGTGATAATTATCGACATTTTTGGCCATATTGCCCAGCCCTAGTGAAGATAACATTAAGCAAGTTGATGAAAGACTTGGTCTTCTCCTTTTCACAGTAGCAAACATCCTCATCACTCTCGATCATACAGACAGCAAATGCACTGCTATGGTATCCCAACCAGTAAAGAGACAACATGGGCTGTCCAACTGCTGTATATCACCAAGTAAATGAAAGTAAATGCAAAATGGCAAAGAATCATCTTGAATCCAACTTTACAATGTTTTTCATCTTTAGCTGCAGAAAGAAAAACCTCTGGTCCCTGGAACTTTTTTGCTTTTAACATCTAATATGAAGCTACATTGTAACTGCTTAGCAGGGCGTGCATGTTTATTGGGTGCGAGTGATTTTCGCTCTCTCGGATTATTTAATATTTTTTAGCAGACAGGTAAAAAAGTAAAAAGGCTAAAAACTCTATTTCACAAAAAAGAAGCTTGAGAAAGGTCCGAAATATATCTTACTTTTGATAATGAGCATTTTCTTGTATCTTTTTTTCTATCTCTGAAATCATCACCAATTAAAGGACAAGTGCTTCGCTAAAACATACAAGAATTCCTTCAGTTTTCCTACTCCAGATGTCTGCATTTCTTTTGGGGATTTGAACCAGCAACCTTCGGGCCAGGCTTTCATTTCCCACAATATTTAAAGGGTTTAATACTTTAGAAAGTAAAGACAGCAGTCAGAAATGAACTTCGGTAAAAGATTATATTGCTGGTCTTAAATAATTATCGTCAAGTGAAACATTTGCTTAGATGAACACCTTCAGTTTGATACGAACCACAACAACCTGTACATGGAGCATAACACAATACAGTACTTTTTCCCTGCGATGGTGCAACAACTGAGTCACATTTGGGCATTTCTCTTCAAACATTAACACAAAAGTACACAACAAATACATAAATAGCTTTTGTTTCCCTTTAAATCATTTATAACGCAATTATATACATGATTCTGGCTCTTGCTACGACATGTCATTTGACCGATATATAAATTAACAACATCAACAACAAATAATAATAATAATAATAATTAGAACAATAATAATATAAAAGCTGTCTGTCTTTCATATAAATCTGGCTAGCTTACAGTATGAAATGATGGAATAGAGACTTCGAGGGCAGTTTGATATGAAGCATCAGAGAGTTTTTCTGCTTTCAATCTCCTTATTCCAAAAGCAGATGCTCAGTTTCCCACTTCAGAGTGTTTGTGAGAGAAATCTCGGCGCCTTGTTGGCTCAAACAGGAGTCCACTGGGCCAAACTGTTTCCTGAAGGTCCACGGCAGCACGGACAAACGCTCCTCAGATGGTGGAGCCTGCAAAATCTCTAATGAGGGCCCCTGAGTTTTTTCTTTCAGTTCAGTTTAGTTCTTCTTCTACAAAACTGAAACTGGCGCCTCCTGCGGTGGTGACTGGTATTGTGATTGCATTACAAGAGGCACAAGGAAGTCAGAAGTTGAATGTGGAGGCGGGGATCAGCCTCCCATCCATTAAGTTTCCCTTCAGTCCGTCACCACTGCTTGTATCTCTAACGTATAAGTCACTGCAACGCTACCTTGCGAAGATATGGACCCTGAGTACCTTGTCGCATCTGATCTGTCGACTTGTGTCCTTTGTGTCCTCCCAAACTCTTCTCGTTTTGTTTGGCCCTCTAATTGTGATCCTATAAATGACCATCCCTAACCTAACCCCTCCCCATCCCACCTGGGTCACAAGGGTCACCGTCCCGGGCAGGCTATGGGTTTGATGCAGCGTCCCTGGAACAGCACCAGGTTGGCGGGGCAGTGGCAGCCGGCCACACAGGGTTTAGTGCACGGTCCGATCTCGTTCCAGTTGTCGCAGCTTTTGGTGCAGCCCGGTCCGCATGTGTCGTACACAGCGCCGTGTTTACACTGAGTGGCTGGAGGGATGAAAAAGAAGAGTAAAAAATCAGTGCATTGTTCTTCCAGGCAATTCCACACCGTCTGAGTATGTCCTCTAAATTATTGTTATTAGGGCCTGAGCATGAAACATGTGAGGTCCCAATTGAAACTGAAGGGATTTTTATTTATTTAAAACTCTGTTTTGGGGGCCAATACATGCTCAAAAACTCACCAAACTAATAATTAGGCACATAATTCAGGCGCGCCGAAACATTTCGTATTTTATGGGTCTCGCACATGGGCGTGACAAAATGGCTCTTTAGCGCCCCCCTACAGACCATACACGCAGGTCACAAATTTCACCTATGTGTATGAAATTTCTGTGGTACATGTATCATGTCCAGACGCACAGAAAAGCCTCTTGGAGCGATGCCCCACACCCAACAGGAAGTCGGTCATTTTTGGATGATTTACACACTCTGTACTTTAACGAACTCCTCCTAGGGATTTAATCTGATCGACTTCAGATTTCTACTGTGCCTTCTAAACACATTGACGGTGAAAAGTTGTGCTATCTGTGAGTTTTCGTCAATGGGCCTGTCTGTGGCGTGGCGTCAAACGTCAACGGTTCGCCATAAAACAGCAAGTTATATGACTTAAGTGTACATGCTCCGATCTGTAACAAACTTTACATGGTCGATAACAGTCCCATCCTGAACACATCTACATGAAAATATTCACTCAACGGCATAGCTCCACCCACTGGTAAAAGGAAGTAAGCTGTTTCTGACAAAACGTGGCTGCCTCATAGTTATTGTGTCTGGCAAAATTATGTGTAGGATGCCTACTGAGATAGACCTTTTTTAAAGAGTAAGATCCTTTTATTTTAACCAGAAACAGCTGCTATATCGCAGTCGTTAAAGCCACCAGGATTATGTTGCAGCCCTGTTTCACTTTTGTGAAACACACAAACATGAGAAAATGGGGTCAAGGTTAAAAATACCAATGTTAGACAGTACACCATGACAGATATTTACATTACATTAATACTACACCACAGACACTTTGGCCATTGGTGAGCTTTAGGCCTAGAGCATACAGTGTTTGGCAAGGGAAACTCAAGGCCACTTATAGTACATCCTAAAATAGATTATTTATTTAAATATTAGGGAAACTCTGGGTTTTCTGTTTCAGAGAGCAAGATCAGATAAGCCCTAGATCAGTAACTCCAGCAACTGATGCTGTGAACCTAACCTCCTCCCGAGCTTAATATTTATAGCCTTCCTATTTAAAATCAAATGTAATGGGCTGTAGGAGAATTCCAGCACTTTATCATTCATTAAGGAAATTCCGGTCTGGTAAATGATGAATGAGCAACGCTGTTTATGAAAAGTAGCCTACTAATGTTAATGTATTGATCCTTTCTCCATCCTGAGTTTTAGAGCCTATCGTGGTCTGCGTCGGCACGCATTCATATTCTAGCTCCACCCGATTAAAATGGAGGCTCTGCCTTTATTTATCCGTTGCCGTGGTGAATCATAGTATCAGAGCTCCATTGATTCATCCCCCCGCACGTGCTTCCATCAGGCTCAACATACTCAGAGCTCTGGGATAAACTCAGAGTTCGTTAAGCCTGCTTTCTGAAACAGGGCCCTGTTGTATAGTCCATGAAATTGCATCTGTCCCTCACAAATTACTATTGAGCTTTGCTAAATAACTGTGAGCAAAGAAAAAAAGGTCTGACTACCTGTGGTATGTAAGATATCTTCAGATTATTGTATATCTTTGTGTGTGTCTTTTGACTATTCATCTCATTTGAGATAGTAATTATGTCATGAGTGCTGTCCACTCACCCATACAGGCGGTGTCGGGCCTCCAGAGGACGGGCACTCCTTCCCTCTCGCAGGCTCGGCTGTAGGCGATGAAGGACTCACAGTAGCAGTTTTTATGGACTGGACACTCACACATGTCCGTCACACACGACCTAGAGAGAGCAGGATGTTAAATGATATTAATGACTTCATCAGACTTACAGTATATTTGAGACCAATTTAGCTGTTGCTAAAGTCAAGTCAATTTCATTTATATAGCACATAATGCTTTTGTCATCTGTGTAACTTTCTAATTTTGAAGTCTAGCTTTAGTTGTTTTAGTTATAATTTAGTTTATGTTGTATAATTAGATGTAACGGGGCTGAAATGTGTTGATAGTGCTCACATCATGACTGTCTTCATAAATTGTAGGATTTGTGGAAAATTGAGAATATTGGTAAAGTGGTCCATGAAGGTTCATTGCACGAGTTTATGGTGAGGTTGTGGTAAGGTTAGGGTAAGCGTCCCGGGTTTATTTGGGTCAATAAACCATAAAAGTAAAAAGTAGTTAATCCTATTACAGGAGGTATCCTCATTTGATGTTGAAAGTCTCCATTCCTCAGGTTTACACTAAAGGAGACTTTAAATGAAATAACAATTGTACACACAGACATGTACAGTATGTGCATTATTGTCACAGCACGCTGAAACGGTGAGGCTCTGTCCTCTAACCTGTAGAAAGGGGCGAAGTCAACCACACGGTGGCACTTCTGAAACTCCCATGATTTTATCTTCTGGCACTCCCTGTGGGCGCGGAACTTGACTTTGACACTGCCAGGGCACAGGATGGATGTCGGCCGGCGAGGAGGAGGCTGCTGAGTGCAAACTTCATTTCCCTCGACCCGCCACGACTCTGCAAACTCGTCCACATCAAACTTGTACTGCCCGTCACCTCCCATGGTGTCGTCACGCTTGTGGCCGTTGTAGTTGCCGCAAAGACCACAGAGGCGTCCACGCAGGTGGGGAGCAGCCACAACCTCCACGAAACTGTCACCGTCCCACGTGATCTCCAGACCTGCAGGGCAAGATGGAGGGAGGAAAACAAAGCTTAATGTTTAAGACTGACGGTAATTCCTTTAGAAAATACCAACAAACAAACAGAGGTAAGTGCATTTCATGTTTTAAAGGTCAGAGATCAAGAGATGTAGTTTGTTACAGTAGCAGTGAGTGACTTTTACAAATAGGGACACATCTTCAAAAACGCAGAAAGACACCAACAGGTATCAATCAATTTAACATTATTGTTGTTTGTATCTAAATGTAGGCAGTTGTTTCCAAATTTAAACAATGTTAAAGGAAGCTGTTTGTCTGTGAGGCTTCACACTAAAGAAATTCAGTTGAGTTCCTGTGTTCCTGTGATGCGTGTTATGTGCTGACCTGCGATGGTGGTGAGTTTGAGCAGGTATCCGTCCAGGTCGATATGCACCCCGGGGCCGTGGTAGGGCAGCGCGATGCGGGTGCCATTCCTCCGGACTGTTAGGTGCTGGTGGAGGCTGAGGATCAAACCTCCCAGCCTAATCTCAACAGACTGCGTCCAGGAGAAGGAACGAGTCCGCCGGGCATCGTTTTTCACCAACACCTAGTAAAAAAATGGAAAATGCAGGTTAAGCTCCCATAAATTCTTTGAATAGTTGAGTTAAAGAAAATTTATTTGGGCTCCGTTTATGTATTCTAAAATAAAGATAAAATGCTTACAAATGCATGCAAAGTGATTGTCAAACAAACCTAGAAATCCTCTTTCCAGTGTTTGTGCTAAGCTAAACACCTCCCTGAGCTCTGCTAAATGCACAGAGGTGAAATTCATCTTTCTTTCTCATCTGACTCTCAGTGAAACAGAAAAAAACTGTTCCTCCTAAAGACAATCCTTTAAAGGCTGTAAAATGAAAATATATAAATAAATTTAAACTTCCATCCTACCATGAAGCTGGAGTCTGGGATGTTGATGTTTACGTTATTTCCTGGTCCTCCAGAGGGGGTGCCGCCACAATCACGAGTCAGTACGTACTGACAGGTTCCCTGAAAGTTAAAGGTCCTGCCGTCGAAGGTGTTGTAGTGAGGGTCGCCAAAGACTGTACATACACCTGGCTCTACAGAGGGAAGGAAGCAAAGACAACAAGTCAGTGAGAAAGAAAGACCAAAAGAAAGAGAAATAAGTTATGGAAAAATATCTGCCGTTTGAACTTTGTTGGCTTAAAATACCAGCAGTGGGGCACTTTAAAAACTAATGTCTCTGTTGTCCCAGGATAGCAAGAAACAGCCAAAAATGCAAGGGTTTAAAAGGATACATGTTGATGCCTGATACTTAATGATAAATGGGGAAATGTGAGGCACTAATCGGACTCACTCAGAAGTGGGACCAGGAGGTGTTGTAAAACTAAACTCTACATTATGAAGAAGTGAGGTTTATGGAGTCTTTGTAGTCCTGAAATGGTGCATTTACAGCTACTTTTGCTGGCTGCAGGCGTCAGCCAAAAACCAAAGTAAACTGACCCGAGGGCAAACCACAGTCTGGACTGAGGTTCATGGGAAATGCTCAGCTGAAGCTACAGAGGCTGGACTGAGATCTGTTTTCATTGCCTTCGGGAAGTCCATAGACATTACTTTACTTTTATTATCTTACTATATATCGCTCAGTACAAATAATCAATACCTAATTTCACAGCTGCATCAAAACACTATTTTAACTACAAACTGACTTGCGTAAACATATTTAAGGCCTCAAATTAAAAACTTGTCTTGGATTATTTAAGCATGAGTTAATACTCTGGAAAAGAGGAAGCTGGACGGTTGAGAAGGACTTACTCACTTTCAGTGCAAACTGGACAGCAGCCGGTCCTGTTCAAGATCTTATTCTGCAAGAGACGAGGCAGAGATGCACAGTGTTAGATTCTCTCAAAGGGATTAAAAGAAAAAAACTCAACATCTTTGCCAGAATGCAGATTGACAGTGAGCAACATCACAGGCAGAGGGAAAATAAGGGAATAAACATCAGATTTTTGCACAGTTCAAAAATTACAGTACTGAAGTGTTTATTAACATGCCAATGCCAAACACTCTGAAGGGACATCAGCATGTAAAAAGAAATTTCTTATTATATATCTAACTATTAATGTTCAATTGACTGTGTTGTTGTTGCATAGCTGCTATCTAAACCATATTACAGTCAGACTATGAGTAGGTTTTGGCCTCACACACTTTTGTATGTATATGTGATGTGCAAATAACGCATATCCGACCATAATATTTTGAATGAAAGATATAAAGAGTGTAGGACATAGAAAGCAAAAAAGAGAGAAAGATGGAGGACAGTTGTTGAAACTGTGATACAACAATGAATATTAAGAACATTGAGATGGATACACATTACTAAAAATACTAAAGACACTCGCAAATCTACTTTTCTAATTTACTTGCGTAACAACTCTCCAACTTATAGAGCTACAGCCACTGTAACAGTTTATAGTTATTTTCACTTCATCATCCAGGTTTGATTTACTGAGAAAGAATAGCATATGACATGAAATGAAACACACTTTTCCAGGGTTTTCCAGCTGTAAATAAACACAACAATTGTCAGACAGCCGGGAGCTAAATAATATGGTTGACGTCCATCAAAGATTAATCACATACTTGGAGAAAAACAGGTAACAAACACTTGACTGGGATGAAAGCAAAACCTTTGTCCAGACTTTGTTGGCAGAGGCAGCAAAGGTAACAATCCTGTTTCCGTGCTGTCATTCAAATAGATGGAACAGAAATGAAAAGAATGATAGATACAGAGGAAAGGTTCACATTTGGACAAGTTCACATTCAAACTAGGACGACCACAAAGACATTGATACTCCAACTTCAACTGCTGAACTCTTGTCTGTAACAGGAAACTCTGCGAATGTGTGTGTGTGTGTGTGTGTACAGTATGTTTCAACTTCCATCAAAAGGTGCAGATCAGAGGACTCTTTCACACACTTAGTTTTTGTTGCCTCAGGGAAGCCCTTCATACGCACAAACACACTCTTTTTCCTGTCTCTGTCATATACACACACACACCACTCATCTGTCATCACAAACAGACGTTGTCCGTACACTCAATACACACTCCAGAGTCCTAACCTCTGCACAAAGGGCACCCTCTCTTTGAAGAGGGCTGCCTTTTGACAAACTGCGGACACAAAATCGCACACACACCTTTCTCTCTCTTTCTCTCTCACACACACACACACACACACACACACACAGTGACAGAGATTGGTTTCAGGGGCCTAAATATAGGGAACCTCTTCTTTGCTGTCAGTCAAACGTCACACAGACAAAAGGCTGTTCAGAGACACGCTGTCTCCACAGGGACGCACACACTCTGCCGACCTGCTGCTGACCGCAGGATGACAGCATGGGAGAGTGTGTGTGTGCGTTTGAACCACACTCATGATAACTTGGGATAGGTGTGTGAGTTTGTATGTAATGACCTAACATATAATTTATCCTCTTCAATTAAAGACTTCATTTGATCTTAACGTTATTTTGTCATACTACAGATCACATCTATCTAGAGGTAATGTTAGTTTTTTACTTTAACATGTTGGCTCATTATTAAAATGGTGGATGTGTGTAAACTCCATATGGAACCTGTACATTTTTTATTTCACCAGGAGCAGTCAAGTACACAATACAAGTAATTAAACCGTGTAAGGGAGGTAAGGGAGTGGGGGTCTGGGTGAGGGGTGGATGTGTAGTGAGTCCAATGTTCTTGTTGTACAACGAATCAGACGCTTCTCTTTTAACCATGCACAGATAAATATTGTCACTATGGTTTAGCAGAATCATCCAGTATCAAAGTTTTTTTAGCGAGTATGGTAAGTTATATAAAAAGTAGTGAGTGTGTATGAAATAACTGTATTGAAACTCGTCAGGGTTTTGACAACAAAATGGACATAGCTGTTGAAAATGATCATGTATGTTCTGTTATAGTTTATATAACATCAGCTTACTTCACAACTCGTGAACTTAGACCAACAAAATGGTCACTTACATGATCATAAGTCCCACAACAATGAGTCTGTTATATGGACACTAACCCATTTAAAGGCATAAAAAGACTGAACGCACTCAGTAGGTTGGGGCCAGGAGGTTCCCAGCAAACTATCACTTCACATGAAATTACACAGACATGAGACACTGATGATGCACAGACTGCTGGGTTTTACCTCACTGCCCCTTGTCCATATGGGTCACAGTGATATGGTGCTATAAGAATTCAGGGTGAAACCCATAAAACTCCAAATACAGAGATCTTTATCATGCTAAAAGATTAAGGAGGTAGTGCTCAAATGTTTTCCCATAAATGCAATTTACCGGTGAACATAACAAGGCATCTGGGATTTTTTTTCATGAGCTGTGATATCTCCAACACAGTGTCATGAATGAGCAAGAAGAAGGTCTACGGCACATGTAGCAAACATAAAATAAAATAAAAATGATCTAACATAGCAATCGATTTAGCAGATGGCATCTCGACACCAACACAACATTAGACCTTGCTACATATAAGAAGCACAGCAGGCACTTGGTTGTAAATATGACTTGTATTCCAAGCCATCTAAAACCTTATCCCAGCAATTAAACATCCCATAATTACTAAAGAAAACAAATGCTTATTTCATAGTGCTGCTTCCCAAATATGAGAAAGATTTGTTTACATCTCTTTCACTGGAGTCAAAACTCTCTGCAGACCACCTATATCACCCTGCAGTCGTCTGTTCTGACCACAGACAACAGGTGAGGGCTTGTTGTAACCGCTGGAAGCGTGTGAACTTGGACTATCACTTTGACTGCGTGACTGCCAGCGGCCGGTGCTATGTGAGGAATCCACTCCATCACCCACTGGCCGACAGATGACCCCAGAGCGACATCTGCGACAGGTGAACGAAGCACAAACCTTCCTCCTGCCAGCAGTTCCCAGAGCGTTTGACAGCTAACGCCACGCTTCAGCTGTGCGTAACATCACTAATGCTCTATAAGGGCACCTTTCTATTGTAGAGGAGAAACCACAATGAAAAGACCTGGAGAGTGACAGGTTTAATACTGACTGTGTCTTTTAGCAAGACACTGATCCCCTGCAGGAAAGTGTATCTAACCTTTTTGGCTGTCATATATCTGACGTAATGTTTTGTATAAATCTGTCCTGTCTCCCAATAACAAGTTTCAAAATGACCTAAATTACCCAGAGAAAGGGAAAATATAATTCTCTTTTATTTTTTATTTTTATAAATATTTTTACATATCTGTCAGCAGTAATCCAATCATATTTCTGAAAGTATGTATAAAACTTTTTTTACAAATATATTTGGATGACTACTGTCTGGAAATAGGTTTTTTTTGTTGTTGTTTACAGAAAAGGACTGTAAGAAGATGGAAATAACATTAGTAGATTTAGATTAGAGAATGATATGATAATAAGTTGCTCACAGTAAAGTAAAATAAAGTAAGCAAGCCTTTCTTTCAGAGTTCAGAGTTTTGGCTCAGACTAGTGAGTGAAATGGTTATGGCTGCTCCGCAAGTAAATCAGAGGAATGCCTCTGTTTTGAGGTGTCTCGCATATGAAGTGAAGATGATAGAGTTAGTCATGGGCTGTAAAGTGTGAGTGTCAGACAGATCAGGCAGACAGAGGAAAACAGATAAAGTGGAGTGACAGAGACAGAGGCTGAAGGCCGTTAATAAGTTGCAGGTCAAACAACAGCTTTGATACCATGACGTAAAGCCTGCAAACAGGATGTAAGTCGGTGATTGGCTGATGGGCCTGTCACTCACCGAGGGGCAGCTTGTGATTGGTACACACTGCTTGGGCCGACATTCGACGCTTCCTTTAACACACGCACAGAGAGTGCAGTTAACTGACGACCACATGTCCCCTTCCTGCAGGACAGGAGAAACACACCAGCATCAGAATACAACCATCCAGACATAAACACACCCAGCCATCCTTCATCTGTCTGTCTGTCTATCCATTCATCCTCCAACCATAACATCCATCCATCGTCAGTGCATCTATCCGTCTATCTGTCCATCAATCCAACCATTGTCTATCCAGTCATTTATCCTTATGTCCGTCTATCATCCAACCACCACTCATCTTTTCCACATCTACACATCTATCCATTTTTTTCTTTTCCCGTCTCTCCACCCCTCCAGTATCCACTCTGCTCTCTCACCCTGTAGATCTTGTTCCGGACTCTGCAGTACTTCACTTCCTCCACCTTCACATAGGACAGACATTCCTCGCAGCACTGATCGCCGTGGCAGCTCCCCGGCCGAGAGCACTGCCTCTTGCACACCACGGTGGAATCCTGAGAAGAAGGGCCCAGCAGGGATTTATCATTTATTGAAGTCATGAAGCGATTTCAACAATATTGTTTTTGTCAATAAAGGGGGTTGTGAAATAAAGAAAGGTACTTTATTTGTCACATACACATCCATGTAGCTAAATTCGTTCTCTGCATTTAACCCAGTTGTGGGCAGCCACTGTACGGCGCCTGGGGACCAACTCCAGATTGAATGCAATGTCTGGTCAATGGCACTGACTGGAGAACCTAACATGTTTTTGATGATGGTGGAGTAGGAGCGTTTGACATTCAGTCCGATACCTTGCAGGTGCAGGCGGTGCAGTTGTCGTGCATAAAGCAAGTGCCATTCTCGTAAACTTCGCTGTGGAACAGACAGCTTCCTAAAGACAGATCAAACACCTTCCTCTGACCTGAAGGAGGAGGAGAAAGGCAAAGATAAGAAACAGGGAGACACATAAACTCACAGTAATGATTTACTTGGTGACGTTTTTTGGCTTATTTAGCTTGCACAGTGCATGCAAAATTAGAATGAGAGCAAGTCAATGTAAAGTCGATAGAAGCAGGTGAATGGATGAGAATAGGTGCAACTTTGCTAAAGTGTCTGCAGGTTTTCATTTCAAACAATCACCACAGCAGCTTAGAGAACCTGTAAAGTTGTAAAATATAAACTTATAGAGTTATATTCTCATTCAGTGTTAACTGTCAGTTTGTCTGTGACAACCTGTATTCACAGCCAAGCACTTCCTACATGACAAATCCCAGATCAAACTCCCACACATTTCCAGGATCCCAGCATGATTATAAGGAGCCTTGCTGTTAGGGGTTAGGGTGCCTTTGTTTTAGTGCCTCCCTTTGCTCCTGACCTCAACTAGGATGCCAGGTGTGCCAATTGTTTTAATATGAGTTATATTTTTTCGTCAGTGATCTTCTTGTGTGTGACACCAAATTGTTTCAACTTCAAAGATGGAAATTAAAGAAGGTAAATGTGAGCCTTTGACCAACTGTAAACCCACCCGTTTCACTGTCAAATGAACTGGCTGCCCTCCAGAAACAAAAGAATGCTAAACATAAAGCATATTGAACAACAGCAACACCTGTGGAGGTTTTACATCAACCTCCACATAGGTGACAGATCAGAAAAGTGATCACTGGTGTTTACCGAGACATCTGGGACAGCACTGTCCAGGCGGGGTGTGGCTGAGGTGGGCAGGGCAGGAAAGGACAGGACACACCTCCCTCATGCAGAGAGTCCGCCCTCCCTGGAAAAACGACAAAACACTATTTGATTAACGGGATGTTTCTTAACGCAGGGACTTTTCCCCTGGGGAACAATTATTTTTGCATTCAAGTGATAAAGTAAATATTCATTAACCTAGCTGATAAAGGTTAAAGTTTGACTAAGGCATTTACAGGTTTTATAGTAACATTTCTTCTCTAACTATCCAAGTTTGTTGTTTTGTTGTTGATGTTTTTTTCGAGTGTTTAGTTAATATTTTTAGAGGGCTGCTGGTGGCTTACATCGAATAAGACCGCACTGGTGTTCATTGACTCCACATGAATGAATTTAACTTTAAGCCACAACTATTTGTTTATATAAAGATCATTACATGACCGTTCTGGCTTATGCGAAACATTAAGACAACAAGAAATTATTATATTTAATTTAACTAAAATACCTGAATAAAATGTTTTAAATGTATTAGTGTCCATGTAAATCATTAATGAGCATACAGTAAAAATAAAATAGAACGTAGTCCTTTTCCTTTTCCATAAATAGACATTTTGTTTGAATGTTAAGAGATACAGAGTAAGATATAACAAATAACACATTTCTGCACATAAGTAAGTGTGTGTATAGTATTTCATCTCTGTTTGTGTGTACATGTGTTAACAAGCTTACAGGTCGCCCCAACTACAGAAGCACATTCATGCTGTAATGTGTTTATGGACGTACCTGTAAGGTCTGTTTGTCTAATGGTGGAAGAGGGAGGGATGGAGGAAGAGGAGGAAAGGGGGACACAGGGAGGGAGGGATAAGGGAGGAAAGGAGGGAAAAAAATCAGGAGGAGGATGTTGTTCCAACCAAAAGTTTGTGACTCCCAGGAGACTCCAAAACTAACTTGTTTAGAGGACAGAGGCCCCGCTGACAAACACTCATACACAGGTCATAATGTAAACCCAACAGTGTGTGTGTTTGTGTGTGTGTGTGTGTACTCACAGTGCAGGTGCACTTGATGCAGGGTTTGCCCTCCGGACTGAACTCATCCTTCTCTTTGTACAGGCGACCCTCAAAGATACAACCTGCACACCACATTTTAAACACATCACTCACTTTTTGTACCCCTCACTTACACGTCTATCTTCTCACCAAACCCGAGTCTCGTATCCACAACAGTTTTAAAAGGATTTCAACAAGTATTGCGTTCCAAAACTATCTGCGTTGGCAAGTAAGAGTTTTGACCAATGCACATAAGATGGTAACAAAAATTTCCATCCATCCATCATCAACCGCTTATCCTGCGTACAGGGTAGCAGGTAACAAAAATTTCATTTACAAAATAAATTACATTTACAGGCAGTGAATTCCAAACATTTAATTTGTTTCATACAGACTGAAATGAATTTATCCAGTTTGATGAATGTCAGAAGGGTCATTAAAAATACTAAAATACACAAAGTAATCACTCAAGACTCAACAGTGGCGCATATTAAGGTGAAACATCAGCAATGTTTTTTTTTTAGATTTTGAAATAAAAATGCAAAATTCTACATTTTAATATTGACTGTGGCTCAGATTGAGTTTGTACTCACTGGGGCAGGTGGGACAGCACTTCTTGGGGTGGATTTTGGGGTTCTTGCAGTGAACGACACACCGTGCCTCTGCCTCAGTGATGACACCTTCCTGTCACAACCAAGAGGAAAATCATTTCTTCAGTTTGTACATTTAGAAGACTTTTCTTTTGGCTGTTAATGTAACTTTTGTACATCTCATTTATCCTTTCCCACCATGCTTTGTGTCCTTTTATTTTTACTGCTGCCATTTTGTCCTTCCTTCCTTTTGTCTCCTTATTTGATGCCATTTTTCCCCCTCCATCTCTCTTTCATTTCCACTTTTCCTACTTCCTCACTTCCACTTTTCTTATTGTTGAAACTGCTTCTCACTGTATTTTAATGTTTCTTACCATAACCCCTTACTTCCAGTTCTTATTTCTTCCTTGCTTAAATATTCATTCCTTTCTTTTTCTTTTTCCTTTCTTTTATGCCTATTTGCTCTCTTTCATCCCTCATTTCTCTGTCTGGTTTTCCTATTTTACTTCGCTTGTCCCTTCTTTCCCTTCTCTTTTCTACCTTCCATTTTATTTTTTCCTTTCGCTTCCATCTTTCCTACCTTTCATGTCTTGCTTTGTTTCTTTTTTCTTTTCCTACTTCCTTCCTTTAACCTCCCATACTTTTGTTCTTCTCTTTCATTCCTCCCACTTTCTGTATCTCTACCATCCTCTAACAACAGCATGTTTGTGTTGTTTCAGATCAGAGGTCAGAGGTTTCCACATGACGTCTGAGGTGAAACAACACTGTCTGCTTGCTTCACCTTTTATCTGCTCACACACACACACCTGACAGCGTCTGGTTATGCAGGGTTTGGTGGAGCTGGTCCAGGAAACTGAGCTGTTATAAGATCGTCCATCCAACATGCAACCTGAGAGAGAGGAAGAGAGAGAGTGATAGAGTCATAAGGCAAGACTTAGTAAACATTTTGTTTTCTTAATTTTCATACAGAATTTGACCTCTGTCTCTTTATCAACATGACATCCCAACAAAACTGTGCAATGTGTGATGTAAAACAATAAAATGTTATCTTAACTTTTTTTTTACATGAGTTAAAACATCTGGTACTTATTTACATGTAAAAATGTATTTGTATTTGGCATACTGCATAACATTTACATATTATCACCTTCTATCGCAAACAGTTACTGATTTACACATCTTGCCGACACAGAGCAAGGTTAGCCTTTATTTGGAGAGACGTTTCTGGCCTATTCATTCTCATTTTACCTCGGTTTCGGTCTTCACCCACTCCAGCAAAAAGTATCTGGCTCTTTAGCTGCTTAATTTTCCACTTTGTTTTCTGGTTAGTCGCTGTAACTGTGTCCGTCTAACATTTGATGCTGGGCCGTTAGTGTTTAGCAGGCTATAATTTAAGACAGACATTTCCAGATCGAATAAAATACGAGTAAAAAAAAAAAAGTATTGTAAAATCAAAACTGTGAGCTGCAAGATGCTAAAACTCTCTGTTGAGTCGAGGGGAGCTGTTGAATTTAATGATATATTGATTTGCTGTGGATTTGTAACTACAAGTGACCCCCTTTCATATTACACAGTTATTGTGTATTAGTATAGTACATTTCATTACATCTGAAGTACGTCACAGAATTACTTAGAAGTACTAAGAGGGCCTCAGTAGCAGTATACATTCAACTTTTTAAATAGCTGAGACCTTTCAATAATTAAACATTCAAGGTTTGTGGCTTTGCAAGGATTGTTCTAGCATATTACCAGGTCAAACCAGGAGGAGATGTCAAGTCTCACAGCAGTCAAGTTCACAACAGGTCCTCATTTTGACGACTTAAGTCAGTCTTAAGTCCAAGTCTCAAGTCAAAATAGCTCTGCAAGGAATCATACTGCTTCTTTATATGGTTTGAAAGTATAAAGTCTTCTTAAATTTACATTTTATAAACTTTGCTGATAAAGGTCAACACATCCACAATGATCTCTACGTTGCTCTCTCACATAGACACACAGTAACTCCACACCCACTGACCCGTCTGCAGAGTCAGCACTAAATAAATAGGCTATTAATTTCACCCCATTTACAGTAAGTGGTCTCAGATCAATGCTTAACTTTCCACATAATGAAACCTGATCACAACCATTGATCTGCTTTCCTCAGTGTAAAATGATACCATTTCACTGCAGAGGAGGACATCTTAGAGAAGAAAGGATCAGATTTGATGGCAAGAGATCCCTCAGAGACTCATGTCCTGTTCATACACTCAGTCCTCACTAATGCACACTGATATGACAACACATCTTCTTTCCTCCAGTTTGTTGATGTTCTCCATCACCAATAAGGGAGCTCAAGGCAAATACTGACACGTAATTTAAATGAATGCACATTTTTGGATTATCTAACGATTCTTTAATATCTGGGTCTAAAGGTTATATAAAATACATAGTTTTTTTAGTATCAGTCTTAAAAACACTTCAAGCCTCAAAACTCAGTTTTAACAGAAACTGGTTAATTAAAGCAGTTTTAAAGTAAATTGTTCCCAATAAACTGATCCAGTCTGGCTGTGAGTCTCTTTAACTGCGTGTATGATTTCATAAAAGTAAGAAAACAGTGATATGACATGTAGGAGTCGGGGTGTTTTCCAAAGCAAAGACACAGAGGGGTCCTAAATTTGGTCACAGCAGCCACAAGTTAACCGCACAATAGAAAACTAACAAGAGTTGTCCTGGTGACGAGAGGCTTTCCATGTCCGGGTTTAACTTGTTCCAACTCTCTTAACGAAGTGCTACGTCGTAAAATGTCGAACCGCAAACAGAAGGGCAGCGCCCCTGCTGAGGTAGGGGTGTGTATGTGTGTTCGTATATGTCTATAGAACCACATAGCTTCATAAGCACAGAAAGAGCAGGAACATCCTTCAAAGTAAGGACTTTTTAGTGGCTCCTCACTTTGTTTTAGGACTTTTAAGCATTTGAATCTACTTTATAATGAAGCTAACATGGAAGTGACAGTAGAACCGGTTCCTCTACTCTCTACTGGCTACTGAAGGCTACAAAACTTTATGGACAGCAATTGAAAAGCATACAACATAAAAAAAACTAGAAAAATACAGCATACAAAGCTTCACTTTTACTTCTCCCTCTTTTTTGCTTTTGTTGGCAACTTTCAAAAGTATTGTTTCAAAAGAGATTAAAAGGACCATACCAATAATCCGGACAATTTTTTGTTAAAAATTACTTTATCATTATGGGGCAGTGCAGCATTGGCTTTTCAAATCTGAGTTAAAACTGCATTATCATAATGTAGCTTTTACAAAAATGGACTAGACTTTGCGAATAGATTTTTATATGGAAATGAATGGAAAGCATATAGATGATTTTTGCCAGCTTAACAAAACTAGCAAACACACAAATATGGTCCTTTAAGACTTCAAATGAGGTGCTGCTGATAAACATGTGTTTTCTTAATTTTGCATATATTTAAACAGTGCATGACCACCTGTAAATATGAAAAAGATGCAGCAGAGAAGTCCACACAAAGAGCTGATGCCTTTTGTCATAAACATGTCCAATAAAAATTTCCTGTTAAACTCCATAGAGCCACATAGTTTAAGACTGGTTAGTTTGATAAGGATCATGTTAATGTTACATTTGGCATTACAATTGAGAGTTAGGGTTCACAGAAGTAAAGACAAATTTATAAACCTGCATGTGTAGCAGTAAGTAGAGCCCATGTGAGGAGATAAGATGAAGAAGAGGAGAACAATAAGGATCTGAGAGATGAAGGTATATTAAGGAGTTTCTGGGTCATAAAAGCAACTGGATTTCTGTGGCCTGTAAACCCAACGGTGAACCCCTTCAGCAGCTGCTCTGTCTCCACACGCTGCTGCTGTGTGTGTGTAAGACAGAGAAAGATGTAAATAATACAACTTTACTCCCACAAGTCACATCTAGGCCTGGCTGGTACTGTACATATAGTGGTTCTTGTGTGTGTGTGTGTGTGTGTGTGTGTGTGTGTGTGTGTGTGTGTGTGTGTGTGTCTGTGTGTATAGAGGCTCTGGTTAGCATCTCTATCGTTGCTGCAAGTACTGTAGTCCTATAACAAACCATCCCAGGGTCATTATTCCTCCATCATCCATTATAATGGATGAAAAAGCAAAAAAACACAGACGTCACCTTGTGTTTTTAGATAAGTTCAATTCGGAGAATAAGAGGGCAGTAAATGTTGTTTCCATAATCCTCTTATTCTGGCTGTGTTTGTCTGTCCACAGTCTTTCTTACCTTTGCACCTCTCACAGCACGCTCCAGTCTGTTTCACCACCAGAGCACAGTCCTCAGAAACCAGTGGACATTTTTCCTGTTTACAGTCTGCCTTGCCCTCCTGCAGCAGACAGAGAGAGAGAGAGAGAGAGAGAGAGAGTTAACAACACACTTTTTTGCTCCATTTTCATTTAGTTCAAATTATTAAGTTTATTATTATTTCACCTGGTGGAAGTTAAAAGTGAAATTAAATCTGGAAGTTAAAAAAGTCTCTATTGTGAACCAAGAAAAAAAAAGTCTTGGTCACTTTGAATTTGTGAGTTTATCTGGTTGTTGTAGTATTTTACCCGCAGTGGAGGAAGCTATCACATGGAAATGGCCACTTTACTTCTTTAAAGCCTCTGAAAACTATTTTAAGTAAATTATGCAGGACTCAAAAAGCAGCTATCAAAGCTGTGGTTGGAAAAAAACATCATCTTTAAGTTTAAGATTTTCATACTAAAAAACCTTATCTGCTTTATGGTGACCGTGTGGATGTGCTTTGGCCTGGCAACACCAAATACTGGTATTTTTGCAGGTATTTGGTCATAAACCAATTGGACAAATTACAATTCTGACTTGATGGTGGCACTACATGAAAAGTGAGAGGATCACCAAAGTTATAACATTTCATCCTGAGGGAACATGGGTATCTGTACAAAGTTTCATGGTAATCCATCCGATATTTGTTGACGCTGTCAGCCCTAGAGCCAAGCTGCTAGCATGGCCAAAAATCACCCAAAGTTGGACATGAATTGTCTTCTCAACAACAGTTTGCACCCGATACGCCACCTCTGTGCTGTGCTATCAGACTTCATCAAAGGTTTGAAGTTTGCAGCTTGAGATTTTAAGTAAAAAGTGAGTCAATCTTCACAGTTTAGCTGTGAATTGTCACACCAACTCAACAATCCTCCTGTCACCTTCAGAAACCCCGCACACTGTATCCGTCATCACCCTAACTGCACCGTGGGACTGGACAGAATATGCGCTTGTTTAATCCGCTCAACTTTCACACCCAGCTTTTATTGCTGATTTTATCCACGTGCTGTGTGTGTGTGTGTGTTTCATTTTACACACTGTGAGGGTTTATAAAGTGGAGGCTGGCGGGTCCCATGGCCCTGTGGCACTGCGGCAGGCGGCTCTAACAAGGACGGATCAAAAGAGGGCGAAAATAAATCGGGGTGGTTTAATATAGCAGCAGCGCTCCAGCTAAACCCCAACCACACTGAGGACAGATGATGTCATGACAGAGAAGGAGGGAGGAAAGGGACGGAGATGGAAAGAGGGAATAGAGAAAGTAAAAGAAGCAAGAGGGAAAATAAATTAGATCAATGACAGAGGAAAAGGACTAAATCTCCCTTTGCTTCACCCAGAAATCTGCCGGAAACTTTTAATGTGAACACAAGTCAGAGTCAATATTCTGGAAAAGTTGATCTTGGCAATACAGTGGAAGAGGTTGTATCAGGCTAACTTACATCCTGTGCATGGACAAGTTTAGGTATTAAGTGCCCACAGGATAATCTGACCACAGTACCATCCATCTCACTCCTGCTTATTAAGACAAGATGGGGGAATCCAGACCACAGAGATGACAATCTGTGAAATGAACAGCACAGCTCAGGAAGCAACGATGTGTTAAGTATCTTGCTCAGGGACACAACGGTGGATGGGTCACAGTGGGAATCGAATTCCTGTCTCTCAAACCAAAGGCATTGCTGCCCCCAATGGTCTTAAGATGGCTAAAATGAAAACCAAATCCTGTTTCTAAATTATTACATTTTTAATTTAGAATTTTGAAGTAAGCTGGTTTAACTTAGACCCGCCACCAGGCTGTTCTGTTTTTAATTATTGCTATGACATAATGGATTGTTGATTGATAATTGTATTTTTTGTATATATTCTAATGACTGCTGGAAGGCAAGGTTCACTTGAGGCAACAAAAAAGTGAAGTCAAGTTGGGAGGCTGTTGGAGCATTCCCATCATCAGAACAAACAGCGCTACACTGTTGACAGTCAGATGAAAACAGGGAAAAAAAGAGATGATTAACCCCAAGATATGACACTGTATGTTAATATGAAGTGAGCTGACCAAAATTACACACCTACATACTGTAGGTGTATCCAGTATTTCAACCACAAGGAATTGGGTTCAGTTTTGATTCCTGGAGGTGGAGCTTTCTGATGGTCCATGAAATATCAGTTTTGAGTTTGCAGTGCTGAACATTACTGAATGGTCAAACACAAGCCTCAAACTGTCACAACGAGGTAATAGCATCATTCCGACTGCAGTGCGTCTTGCGTTTTGAACATTCAAATCAACTGGCAGTTTTTTGTAACTTATAGAAATGAATGTAAACCAACTTTAGCTTTGTTTACAAAATGGCCAGCTGTGATGTAAAGTGCATACTATTTGTATTAAATGGACTACAACGCGAAAAAAACCCCACTGGAATGATCCTTTAAAGAACCGTGGACAATTTGGTTGCCAAGGTCATGTCCTTCTCTTTCTCTCTCTCTCTCTGCTGTTATCCATTAGCACAAAGTGGTGTTAGTACATGTGACCCCCACCCCCACCCCCCACCCCACCCCACCACCCCCCACATACTCTCAGCCCTCTTGTCTCAGGGTCAAAGGTCACAACGGGTCACCACGCCTTATAAACACTCGAAATACCAGCGCGGCACCAAGGCTGGTCAACTGGACGGCAGTCTGTCACTGAGGGTTATGGACCCCCCCCAACACGCACTCACACACACAAAGTGGGATAAGGCGTTGGTATGCTCGTAAGTGTTTGTGTCAGAGAAAGAGAAAGTGTGTGTGCGATCTTTGTGTTTGTCTGCTACCATATGGAGCTACAAGGAGTTCGACTTAAATTGAATTACACTGAATACATCGTGTATATTCAACCAGTTGTTCTGTGCGACACCCTAACTCCAAATTCAGTGTGTTTTCATTTATGTATGCATCTTACCTAACAAAAGTTCTACAAAAGTTGAAGTTTTGTAGTTACAAGGTTTTCATTTGACAGTGACAAAGTATGTGTAGAAGGAGGCTTGGTTCTTCATGATTTTGGTGATTTAAAAGCTGACTCTGAACATCATGGAGACACAAGTTTTCGGTGTGAGACAGACGCAGTCTTAAACCATAATCAGATTTTACCCACAGCATTTTTAATTCAATCACTTCAATTGAATCATTACTAACGTCATAGTGAAGGTTAAGTTCAATACAGTAATTCCATTATTGACCAGTTTCATGAGCTTTAACTGCTTCAGAAACGAAAACCTGTGTATTTAAGTCTACATGATTAATGCTTGTTTTTCCTGCTTTTGACATCTACATTCAACCATAAAAAGTTTTTTTTATGGTTGGAGTATATTTGAAATCTCAAATTCAAATCAGTGTAGTGCAGATAATAAAAGTCATGATGTGACTGCACTTTATTGCCAGTTTAAGTAACCAAGGATGAATCTTTCCTGGGTCCATAAACCTTCGGAAAATGTTTCCAGAGGCTGAAAAGAGAAGAGGAGCTCTTAAATCTTTCTATGTTCACTGTGAAGACAGACATAGAAACTGCTTTTAAATGTCAATATTTATAGGTGTTCCTTTAGGTTCTCTGGTGCCAAGAAAGTAAAATCATGGCTTATGGGATGTAGTATTTTTAGTAATTTATGTTTCCTTGCTATTGAGTTGGATTGATTTTATTGTTGCTATTCGTCATGTTTTAATCAATACCAGAATAAACAGTAAAGGACAAAATATTTACAACATCTAATAATAATCAAGAGCTTTGGTAATCAATTTTAAACCAAACTGGCCATTATAAGACAGACAGAAAATCTAATTGTTTACATCTCAGTTCTTTAACATTTTATCAACATTAAATAATGTTTTCTTCTTCTTTAACGGATAAAACATCCTCATTTGTGTGACAGTTAGGCTATTCTGCCACTAAGAGGCGACAGTGTTCACTATTTGTCCTCATCAGTGTTTTTTTTTCTTCCTCACTTCTCCTCCTCATCCCTCAACTCCTGCCCTTCTCTTTCTCCCATCACCCACCATTTTCTCTTCCTCCATCTGCAATCTTTTCTCTCGTTCTCTTTCTTTCTTTTATCCTCCCTAATTTCAATTTCACCATCTTCACTGGGCTAAATATTGCACTCATTCTTATTCTCTCATATTTAGTTTTCCCATCTTTCTCTCAAATGTAATCACTCTCTCCTCTGTTTTTGAGATGTTCCCTCAAAACTAAAAGCTTCTGTCTTACTTCCCCCTCCTCTCTTCCCTTTCATGCTTTCTCTCTGTCATGGTGAAGGAGAGAGATAAGTATGGGTCTGTCAGCACAGGAGAGGAACTCTAAACTTAAAGGCCCACCTAAGCCCTTGGACATCACCAAACCTGAACCCCCTTTGCCACTGTGACCTATCACCTTTCACCATTCCTCCAAAACAAACAGGTCACGACCCCCCGCCAGAGAGCAGGAGCCACGGTAGCTTAGAGACGAGACGGGAGGAGAAAGACGCCGATGGGAAGCAGTTTCCCAAAACTGTTTCAATGAGTCGTCTTTTCTGCCAGAGGGAGAGCTGAATGTAGTAATAATGTGGCCCATAGCTGGTCTGAATAGAAGAGAAGTCGAACTTTACCATGACCAGTTATGAGGGTGCACAGCATGAGTACGGGCTGACTGCAAATGAACGGCAAAACATTTAAATGGTGATATTCCCCTTGTAAATATAGTATTCCATTTAATTCATTCAAGAATGCGTAAACATTGTGAAACCAATCCAGAATATTGTGCTTTGACATGTAAGTGGTCCAATTTAAAATGACATGATATAAACATGATGTTAGACAGTGCCAGCTGTAGGCCTAACGAATATTTTCACTGTTGATTAATCAGTCTATGATTCTGACAATGAATAAAATAATTGTTATGCCTGTTACTACCAAGTTCTTGCACACTAGAACGTGCTGTAGACAGGTGAGTCAGATCAACTCCTGCACGCTGTCAATCACTTGTCCTCACTTTATGTCATATAGACAAACAGCACCGGTACTGGTGGTGAAGGTCTGTGGCCCAAACTAATGTGAGTTCAGTGCCTGCAAAACACTTCCATAAAATGTAGTTTTTGAGACTCTTCTGTTACTTAGACAACAAGAATATTAAAATTAGTTCATTATATTCCAGAGTGGGGGCGCCGCAGTGGTGCAGTGGGTCGTGGGTTCAAACCCCGGTGGAGTTTGCATGTTCTCCCCGTGTCCGGGTGCTCCGGCTTCCTCCCCCCATACAAATACATACAGGCTAGGTTGGTGACTCTAAAATTGTCCTTAGGGTTGACTGGCAACCCGTCCAGGGTGTACTCCACCTTTCGCCCAATGTCAGCTGGGATAGGCTCCAGGTTGACGATGGATGGATGGATATTCCAGAGTTTGCTCACTGAGGCTTTTATTGTAACTGTTGGACTGACCACCTGGCAGGACACAGGTTGTTCACTTGTCCTTTGGTCTCCTCGACTGACCCTGGCCTGTCTTTTATCTCCCTCTCTGACCGTTCCGACACTCTTTCATCTCCTGTTTTTAACTCCTTACTTCCCACCACTCAGAAAACACAAGTGAGACAAAAACAGAAAGAGAGGAAGAGACTGCGAGAAGGGAGATATGGAGAAGGAAAATCTACAAAAAGAAAAAATACATAAAAAACACAGTAGGTATTAAATTATTTCAGATTTCTGTCACCTTTATAAATATGTTAAATATGTTATTTTTTCATTTAATTTGGATTTTGCTTTTATTTTGAAACACAAGTGAAATGTGATATATCATTGAAGTTATTTTTCATTTAAAATATGGTAGGAAACAGAGCTGGTGTTGGTTCAGTTTCATCAGGTGGTTATCAGGTAAACCTTACCCCTCCTATATTGATCAGCTACTGTTTGAGTTGAGACACTGACAGCAAACACCCGTTGACCTTTCTCTCAGATCGATCACAGCTCCTGAGCGTTAAACTACTAGCCAGGAACTTCTATGCGCAGTGCATCTGGAATGTTTGTTTCATCGATTAACGGGCTGCTGTGGCTTATGACCTTTGACCTCCTTACTGTTGGGTGCTGCTCGTAATGTTGGAAATGAAGGAATGGAGGATTGTTCCGATATTAAACTCATATTAAATCCCAGCAGATTACATGTCCGTCTGTGGGTGAACTGTTACCCAGATAGAGTGAGTATTTACTTTTTTAACTCACCCTTATTTTATTTTACTGCTAAATGGGGAAGTAAAGTTTTAAGTTCAACAATCAGTGTCAGTCTAAACTACATCAAGGACACATTACATCCTGTTTTGAATGTTAGATGTATATTGTGTGTGTGTGTATGTAAGTGTTAATCGTCCAATATGAATGTAATCCCTATATGGAAACCTAGCCTGTTTGTCAGGTTCTTTCATCTGCTACTGTAAAGACTTTTAAACTTACAAACCTTTTGTTTTTTAAGCCCACATGCTCACTGGACATCCCATTTTAATTTTTTACAGTTTAATTGTTGAGCTTTGTCACATGCCTGTGGTATTAAAGATTGTCTTTGATGTTGTTGCCAACAAGTTTTATATTTTTATTGTTTTTTATATCACCCTAGCCAAAGCTAAGTCAGGTAATACAAGAAGCAATCCTTCAAAAATACAGCTAATATTTCACCTAGCATTAGTCTACGCTAAAAACAGAGTCCCGCTCTTGTTCCCACATGATGCAGAGAGGGCAGACATTTACAGAGAGAATATCTGAACTACAACAAGTGACACAGTAAAAAAAAAAAAAAAAAGGAGCTAATCTGAGTTCGAGCGAGGCCAGGAAGAGCCGATGAAAGAGTGGAAAAAGACACGGAGATGAACAGACAGATAGACGAGGATGATGAAGAGTGTGACAGAGATGGACCGACTCCCTCCAAGATAACGGATCGTCATGGCGACCGGCCTGTCAGTCAGTCTGTCAGCCACATCTACTCCTGGTCCCATTACAGCGCTCGGCCTCACCCCAACTCATACAATGGCTCTTCTGTGTGTGTATCTGTGTGTGTTAGTGTATGTCCCTACCCACAGAGCTATTAGCAGGTACTCTGGACCAACTGGAGAGCCAACCACCCGTCCCCCCTTCCCCACTCTTCCATGTATGAGTGACACTGGAGCCCTGATGGCTCCCCAACCCCCTAAAGACAGCACGGCGACATGGCGAGTCCGTCTTTTGGGGGATGAAGGAAGCGGAAGTGTAGTCACTTTACTAAAGGTCTGCTTTAACCTGGATGTTATGTTACCAAGTGTCAAAATATGTCCTCTTGCTACACGAGCAAACTGTTCACCAGGGTAACCAGGTTCCACAAGCTCAGAATATACTTGTACTGACAGAAGGTAAAGAGAATAAAAGTGCTAAAGCTTATTATTATTTTGCAAATCATAGTCCAGAGAGTTAAAATAATAATATTAACATTAAATGGTCAAACTTTGAGATGTTTCTCCTGCAAAACATACTTTTAAAACTCAACTTTCATCTGAATTTTTGCATTGATATTTTGTTTTTCAGCTGTTATTTAACAATGAATTCCCAGTTATTGTCAGCAATACAAGCGTTTCTCATCGGATGAAACAAGCAGGTGAAATCTACAATAGGATATAAAATACGATACAATACAATACAGGGGGAAAACTAAGTGTCCCCATACATATAGGTATTTTTCGTTGTATGGGCAATAAAGGCATTCAATTCAATAGTGTAAATGTCAATGTGACTGTATGAGTATATGTTAGTGTTTATATATAGCTTCAACACCAGTTTCAGTTCAAATCTGTGTAAAGTGAAGAAACCTAAATTTAAAATGTAAAAACAGAACAATTATCGCTGTATTTGGATGTGTCACATAAGGAATAGAAATCTTAATAATTTGCTATATACATTATTTGTTTTTTTGGTGTAGAAAGAATATTGAAACTTTGGGAACCAATGAGAAGAAGTGAAACTGGAAACTGATATGAGGTTATGTTCAAAGTCAAAAAACAACAAAACATGCATCTCAGGTTTTAAAGGTTTTTAGGAGATAAACAAATTGCCCAATTCAATAATGATTGAGCATTGAAAGTATAGAAGTTTATGAGCATATGCGTGTGTGTGTGTATGTGTGTGTGTGTATGTGTGTGGGTGAAGTCTGTGTGTGTGTGTAGGGGGGATTAAAGTAGAGATGAAAGGCCGGCCATTGCCTTCTGATGACTGATAGCATTCAGCAGGGCTTTGGCTGATGTCTGCCTGATAACACAGAGGACGGCTACAAGTTGGGGGAGCCTCAAACTAACCAATCAGAAGCTAACAGAATCTTTAAAAAGGCCAATAAGGAGCTAGGGTTTGGTTGCAGAAAGTTGTATTTGCCATGAATAAGTATACTGTAAGTATTTGTATAAACTGTACATGTGCACGGTGACATTATAACAAAGTAGCCGAAGAATTAGGGGAGTAATGCCCTTGTGCTGTGATATTCCTCCACCAGTTCCATTATTTCCTTATATCAGAACACTTCAGAGTGCATTATAACTCTTATATCATGACATCTATAAAAACAGGATCATCATTCAGGTTAAAGGCTTTAGAAGCAGTGGTTTTGTTAGATTGTGCATCAGTTTATACACAGTTCCGTAAAATATTTTAATATAACTAACATTATTATTATTTTGGAAACTTTTTGATCTCTATAATAATTTAAAATAAAGTTCTGTGGGTGACGTCAGACAAGTACATATTGTATGACCTATAGTCTATAGTTCATTTAAAGCTTACTGAACGCATCCTTCAAGTTTACACCTGCTTCATGGAGGGTAAACTCTGGTCTTGTGATGCCTTTTAAAAACAAAATCCTCTCTTTCAGCTGCTGTTGAGGTAGTGAGACAGAAAAGCCTTGTTGGTCTATTCTCATCCCCTAAAACAAAGACCTCTAGAGCAGTAATGGGGGGTAGAGTGGTGGTGCGGGGGTCAGGGGTCAAAGAGCACATGTTCCAGGAAAGATTCATCCCCTAACGTTTTGTAGGCTGGTTTTAACAGCCGGTCCAAGCCAAGACAGCATGACGACAGGCATGTCTGTTAAAACAAACAATCCCCAACTTCATGTTTCACTGCAAATCCTCCGAAAACAGTGAAGGGTCATTTTCTACATAGAAAGATGCATTATAACATCTATTTCTATAAGTATTCTATTGATATTGGTACCTTTTAACCACAATATCAACTTAATGTTTTACTGAAAAAGGTTTGTAAATTCCCCCCCAAAAAACGGCTTACAAAAGTGATTTAAAATTTAATTTAAAATGATCAAATCACACTATCCAAACTTAACGTCTCACCTAACCTAACCGCCAAAAACTTGTATTTCAAAGTCCTTTCAAAGTGTTACAAATCTTTCACAACCTTCTGATAAGAAACACCACACAAAGCTCAATAATCCGCTTTACAAATATCACTATCAGAGTTTAAAAGGGTAATTTTATCCTATCAGCCTGAGTGGAAAACCTGAAGCAGCAATTACACGTCAATGTGTCGAGAACAAACAGGGCGGCAGCAAGTCACACAACTAATAACTAAATGTTATTGTGAAAAACTGCCAGCTATGCAACATATTCAACAGCGCGGAAAGTGAAACTAGTTGTTCTTACCAGACATACGCAGGTGATGCAGGGGTTGTCGGTGATGTTGGGGATGTGGAGGACTTCTCCTTCGTTGTCACAGCTTGCCTCAGTACCTGTGAGGGACAGCAAGAAGGAGACTCAGGTGAGATGCAAGCTGAGAATGAAAACAGGGTTTGAACTTTTGACTCTGACCAACCCTCCTGATCTACACAACAGCCTGTCGGGACCAAGAGACGTTACATAGACTTGTGTTAAATAAACTGTGAGCTGAAAACATGAAAGGCATGACCAGAGGATCCACCAAGGTTATTTAAAGCTGATCTAATAGAATATTATATTATATATATTATTATATTAAAAAGAATCACTCATAGTGAAGATTATCGCCCATTTAACACATTTCCCATCAGCTCTACAAAGCATTTTTAGCTCATTGTTTGGCCAGTAAATTTACTGTTTTGGTTCATGAATCTTGTTTTCAGCAAAAAAAATAAAAAATTTAGCATCTAGCTGCTAAAGTGCCAGATATTTCCCCAGGAGCTGGTGGAGTACAAAACAGAGGTAAAAGGAGAGTGAATACTGGACATTCATCAGGTGGACACAAACATGACTCCAAATGGATGCTAATGTTTCTCTGTGTCTGCTGGACGTGTAAACAGGCAGCCGTTTGACGTTCACTTTTTCTTTTTAGGGTGATAACAGGTGCGTTCGAGATGACTGTGGCAGGCAGACAGCGGACTTAAGCCAATTCACTGCAAATGATTATAAATTAGAGCCAAATTGATGATATCAATTATTGTATCTTAAAACAAAGCTGAACATACAGTGTTATTGTCAACTCATCACAGTGTCAAAGCGTGTCAGTTCTCACCAAAAGCAGCAGTTTTGTCATTTTTTACCCACCAAATCAGTAAACCCAATTTACAGTTGAATCAGAGATTACAGTAACAGTATTACACAGCTAACTTGATTGGAAGTAAAATTATCATTAATAGCTATAAATAAAGACAACTAAAACAAACAGCTTGTTTAAAAACGATCAAAATCATAATACATAAAAATGCAACTTATAACTTACGTACATTAATGCAGTTACATAAGGCAATACCATCGTACACCTACATCGGCTGATGATTTTGACCTTGTATCTGTCAGGCTTCATTATACATTTTACTGTCAGCATGTTCAGAATATTTAAACTGCAGTTCTTTTTTCTCTTTTAGTCTGGTTTATCTGTCCAGGTAAACGCTGTGACATTTAAACTGAGGTCTTAAAAATGTTGATGAGTTAGCCAGTTTGTTACGAGAGTAAATGTAATCTGAACCATCTACAGGAAACGACCCCAAACACAAGGATTTATGGGTAGAAGCAGGCAGATGTCAACATCTCAGGGCCAGCACTTCCTCCTGCTTGGAGAGCTACAGCAGAAAGAAGCGGAGTACGACGCTCAGCTGCTTTTCTATGTGCAGAGTTTATTGTCATGAGCTTGGAGTTGAACCAGGGTCATCAGAGGTAAGGGTAAATCTCCACCTTTGACTACTCTGTTTGAGTGTCAAACTACTTCCTGTTTCTAGTCATGTCTCTTCCTATGATCCTGTTTCTCGGAGGAATATAATTTTTCTCACTGTATTAGCATAAATCACTGTAATTCTGTTTAGGTTTTGCATCTTGCATTTCTACCAAGATTGGCTTGTTTTTCTATGAATGTTTATCTATTTTTGATGATTTGTCCATTTTCTGCTTCAGCTCATCTTCTGTAGTTTCTCCATCTGGATTGTTTAACGGTTATCTCATTTTACACAGATTCACACGTAAACATAAAATGAAAGACTAAGACCTTTTCTGAGCAATATTTGGTCAGTGTATCATCAGTGTACTGTGTCCTCTGATTCTTGACCTGCTGGCTCTTTTTGTTGGTTCTGTTGTAAAGTTGATGATTTAGTAATTGACCGTTTGCTAAATTCCTCCCTCCCCAGAGCAAATGCAGTGTGCAGGGCAGTGTAGTACCAGCGTTATCCAACATTTAAAGAGTTTGGATGGATTTAATTGTATGTTTATCTGCTCTAACATAAAATGCACTCATTAGCATGCAAAGTTAACTAGCTTTCTACCAAACAGTTGTAACCGAGCGTTACTGTCAAAGCAAATGAGCACATTATTGGGGTTACGGGTACCAATTTAAGACGACCACTTCCACTGTGTTGTATACGCTGTGAATCCACTCTACAACAATAGATCTTTATGGCTGCGAGTTGTGCCTCCTTGTCTCTGAGTTCAGCAGAAAACCAGCCTGTGAATTCTGGCAGAGCAGACAAACCCGCCCACTCCACCACCACTGTAAAATTTACAGCCTTCGAGTGTAATTAAACTGGCAGGGCTGTAAGTGGTGGGGGAGTGAAGGTGGGTAGTGGGTGGAGGGTGCAGGGGGGACTCGGTCTCTGAGGCCTCGTCCTCAGTCTGACAAAATACCTTCCTCTTCTGTTTGTGAGCCACACATATATCAAGTCTATCCAGTTACCTTTCTACCTACAGAAAGTAATGATCTACTGTATTTATATAGCGACCCTTTCACCTTTAAACAGCAATAAGCGTTTTATTAAAAGGAAAACAGTACAGAAACTATTGCAGGCAAAAAGCAGTGAAAAGGATAAAATAATAAGGATAACATACTTGGAGAAAGCAGCGCAGAGAGTTGTTAAAGAGGCTGGAGCTCAAGGACAGCAGGGAACTCAAAACTATGACCTCTCTTCTGTTAGAGGTCGCTCTCTGACTGATCAGCCTCTGAGAGTCGCTTCTATTTTAGACCCAGTTGCAAGTTGGTAAAATATCTACATTTATTAAGATCTGAGTCTAATGAATCTCTTACTGAACTGAATGAGCAAATCAGCTAAATGTCAAATGAAATCTGTCTAACTTGAGTTTTACTTCTCAAATATTAATAATCTCTGTCCCATGCCAAAGAAATATTTTTTCTACTTCTGTTCATCTCTAAATAGCTTTAGACAGGAATAATTCAGATCCTTAGCAGTTCTGCAGTATAAAAATAGTGTTATATGTATTATTGTTATTAATAGTTTTTCTCATGGGTTTTATGTGTAAAGAAACATCATAACTACTAAAAACTTACTTTTACTAAAAACTAAGGGACTTTTATTCCAGTTTTCCTGCAGTAACACCATGTCATTAGCTTTCCTGACATTAAAGGGGTCAATGGTTAACACCTGCAAGTTTAAATAAGAATCATAAACCATTCAGATTCAGTAAATTGTATCAAACCCTAATAGAGAAAGAGAGAGAGCGAGAGAGCGAGAGAGCGAGAGAGAGGAGGAGGAGACAGCAACAAGTGTCCTGGACCAGATTTTAACCAGTAATGCTGTGGTTACAAACACCGTAGATACAATCCTGAAGCCAACAGGATGACCTCTGTACCCGGTGCTCCACCTGCTGCAGGGACACATTCAACCGCTCAACTATAAGACCTCAAACCTCGCAGAACCCTCTGGTCAGTGGTTCAGCAGACAATAGACAGGATGATACAGTACATATGTGGGATGCCAGGTGGAGGAATCCGATCCGCTGGGATCATAATGGTGCAGCCTCCTCAGCTGACACAGAGAGGTTGTTGGTTCGCCGAGGTTTCCTACAAGGTTTCATGTCAAACAGACACATATTTGACTACAGAGACCCATATGGTACAGGTTTTCCCCCCTATCTGATCCCTATCTGTTTGCTTCAGGAACAGAGATAACAGCCAAGAGAAGGGAAACCCTGATAATCAGAAATTATCAGAAGGGACGTATATAAAGTTAGTCTGGATTTTAATGTCATGTCTGTTAAAAGCTGAAGAGAACCTCTGTTCTGAATAAACCCTTTCTTCTCTTGTTAATTAACTTATCATGTATTCATGGAAACCCTCCAAATGACCTCTGGAGGAACCGAAACCAAATAAATATAATCAAATCAATTTAATCTAATGCCCTTTCATCACCAGGCCAGGTCAGTAAAAGCAGGTCAGCTGCAGAAGTCCCGTCCCTCACGCTGCTGATAAGAAGCATTATAGGCCGGGCGGCTGACAGCAGAGCCCGGCCTGCGCGCACCACCACATCCACCTTTCATTCACTCTGCTTCTATTATTCTCATTTCTCAAAGGCGCTGCAGGGCAAACAAGCGATATCCTATGATGCAATGCGGCTTTCAAAGGGGGAGCAGGCCAGGGAGGGAGCGCGTTTAGACCGGGAGACAGTGGCAGGAGAAACCGCTCAGGAGGGAGGACAGAGACGCTGTTAAATCAGAGCTGGTTAGGAAAAGTGATTTACACTTTACAGCCTGCTTTTAACTAAAAATGTGGGCTAATTATAACTTCTAGTGACACAAACAACAATTTGAGTAAGATTATAAGACTTCTAATTTTACACAGACCTTTCATCCTAAAGTTCTAAATCCTAAAGTTCTGTATAAATTACTTTGATATTGACTTATATCATAGTGATTTATGTCAGGCAGAACACTACCTCTGCAAATAACAAGCTCTGCTGCAAACAACAAGCTTCCCGGGGTGTATTTTGGTGGTATTTCTGTCCAGGGCAACAGTGTTTCCACAGGAGGAAGCAGATCAATTCTGTTACCCAGCGCTTGAATGTCACCTGAACCCTCGGACTCAAGATTAAGACCTTTCCTAAACCACAACAAACGCAATTTACTGACTTTTAAATTTTAATCGCCTTTATTGTGTAATTAAAAAAACACGAATTATGATTATACTGTGGTACAAAATATAGGAGGGCAGGTGTGAAAGTGTTTTCTGAGCGCTTTGCCCGCATTCTTTTGATTTTGTGCTTCCTGGTGACCATGCTCCAATTTGGAGGTTATATTTCTTGGTTCATGGACCGTTTAGGTGAACACCACAATACTGGCACCTAGAAATATAAAAGCTGAAGTGACTTTGATTTTGGTGCGCTCCCTCGCAGAGTAAAAACAGACTGAATAGAAGGAGCATGGAGGCGCGGCAGACTAAATAACCGGGGGTTTGGGTAGATTTTACGCACGGTGGGTGTTGTGATGTGTTATTATAAAACCATATGAAGCCTTTAATCTTACCTGTAATTAGCGGAGAGGAGGACCGGGGCGATTGGAGCAGCAACAAAAAGCTGAAGAAAAACCTACAGGTGGACCAAGAGGGAGGATTCGAGCAGCGGAGCAACATCCTCGGGTTTTCTCCAGGAGAAAACGTACAAATAAATAAATGAAATCACTCCAAAGTATAACAAGATAAAATGAAACAGATCCACGTCCCGCAGACTTCTTTATTCCAGCCAGGAGAGCAAAACTCATCAGTTTGTCAGTTTGCGCTGAAAGCGACAATCAACCAGGCGCGCGGGGATTATACCGACATTAAAATGACAAAGACGCGCCGACAGGCAGGAGACAGTGGGGCTGCTCAGGACATGTGCGGAAAACAGGAGTGCGGAGCTTACTTGAAAACATTTAAAGATAAAAATCAGTCCCAAATCGTGCAGATGCGAAAATCCTGAGAGGAGCAGCGGATGTTTTCGAGGTTTGAAAATGGATTTCGCTCCACTCCGGCAGTCAGAAGAGTCCAAATCAAAGTGTCCGAGGTGATTTTACCTCAGAGAAACAAACACAGGTGATTTATAATAGCTGCAGGGGTTCAAAACTGCCTTTCTGACTCCGTGCCGATAAATCAGTAAAGTTTTTCAAGGAGTAGACTGGTGTCAATCAGCGCTCTGAAATCAAGAGTCCGTTTGGCACATGGATGCTCGATGCAGACTGTCCGGGACGGAGGAGTGGATTGCAGTCTTTCTCTCTCTCTCTCTGAGCAGTGTAAGAGAGTCAACCGGCCTCCTCCTCCTCCTCTGGTATTAAAGCGGACCTCTGGTGTCGGAGCGCACCACAGAGCCAGAAAGTCCTGCCTCCGCTGTTAAAACCGGGACCTCCTCCTGCCTCCAGACCTTTCCGAAACGTCCTCCAAACCCTCCAGACCGTCTCTGGTCATCTGCTCCAGATCTCCTGCAGACTTCTCCTCCTCCTCTTCCAAAACATTCCAGTTCTCCTTTTGTTATTTTAATTTGTAATAATTACAGTCTCTGCTCCTGTCTACCCGGTACTGAGCCTGTGAGTACCATAAACCTGTGTGTGTGTGTGTGTGTGTGTGTGTGTGTGCTTTGGGATCCAGTTACATTAACAAATCAGGGGAGCTACATGTGCTGTTGATGTGTCTGTGTTGTAAATGTAAGTGTTTTAAAAGAAGAAGAACAAAAGAAACGCCAAGAAGAGACAGGAGGACAGATGTAAAGTGGAACCTTTGTCTCCTGCAGAGACAGAAGTCAATTTTCTACTAATTCAAAATAAAGGGTTTTCCTAATCTACTTGTCTTCAATAACTACTTCAAACTCTCCTTGGTAGCACAATTACTGTGGTACATCTGGAAGGAGAAAATAGAAATACCTGTCAGACATATTCATGTTCTTTCATCTTTAATTTTATATACTCCAATACAGAGATTTTTCCTTCTTTCTTTTTCAGATTGTGAGTATTTCTCACTTTATTTAGAAACTAGTTCAGCCAAAGATGGTCTGAAGAAAAGTCTTAATGGTCCAGCATACAATGATATTTAGACAGTGTGCCTCCAACTATGGTTTTTCCAGAATGGTGTGAATGAACTTGACTGGCCTGCACAGAGCCCTGACCTCAACCCCATCCAACACTTTTACTAACTTGGACCACAGACTGAGAGCCAAACCTGATCACCAACATCAGAGTTGGACCTCACTGATGCTCTTGTGGCTGAATGGGAACAAATCCCTGCAGCCAGGTTCCAACATCTGGTGGAAAAGCTGAAACCAGGAGAGTGGAGGCTGTTGGAGCAGCATATTAATGCCCATAGTGTCAGAATGAAATGTATTATTATCTATTACATAAGGATGTCCACATCCATTTGGCCATGTAGTCTACTCTCTTTATGTATCGAGTGTCGAATGTTTTAAATCTAAATATCACGGCATAAACTAGTCCTTGTGGTTGTCAAAGTGCATTCAAGGATCCATTTGGTGCTCTTGAAAGGGTCAAAAAGGTTCTCAAACTGGGGTGTGGAACATCTAGGGGACACTGATCAGGCGACCTTGACAGGACCTAAAGCCAGTGAAGAAAGAGTTAACTGTCGTTATTCTTCATTTGAAAGAAATAGTTCCTTAAATTCCATCAACAGGAGATTTTAAATGCAAATCTAAACCATAACCAAAGAGACAAATGGGGTTTCTTTTGAACAAAATCCTCATCAAATGAATGTTGGCAGCTTGGGATATAACATGAGACTATTTGCAGCTCTGTTCCGTGCAGAGCAAACGTCCCCTTCTTGTCAAACCCAACACGCTCCTCCACCATATAAACGCCTCTACATTTTAGCATTATGTTCCCATAAATCTGCAGACTGGAGTCTACATTAAAGTCTTATGTGACAGATGAGGTGGGTTGCATGACAGTATGTGTGTATGTGTGTGTCTAGCCTCTTTAAAGTGAAGCTCGTCAGAAGCTCAGACGGGGAGGAAAAGCGAGTCTTCAAAGAAATAATTAGGACCCACCCAGCAGCTTTTAATTGAGCGCTGGATCTGTGCTGCTGCACGCTGGAAACAAACGGCAGGCATGGCCCAGGTGTGTGTGTCAAAAAGACAGTAAAGAAGAGATTCATAAGGGAAGCGCGTCAAAGAGTGTCGTAGACAGAAAGTTGGAGTCTTGACATCAAGAAAGTGTGTATTTAAAATGCAAGTTTGTCAACCAGAGAAAAGGAGTGTGTTTCAAAGATTGGGAGAGCATCAAAGGGTATGTGATGCAAAGAGCAAGTGTGTATGCGTGTGTGTGAGTGTGTCAGACAGAAAAACAAAACAACATTAAAGTGTGTATAAAGGAGACCATCAAAATCTCATGAAAATGTGTTTTTATCAGAGGTCAGGAGTGTCTGTGTGTGTGTGTGTGTGTGTGTGGTGGTGGGGGGGGTAATATTAACCACTAGATGGCAACAGAGAGAGGGAGGGGTGACCTGGTCGGACTGCCTCACACATACACGCGCACCATCCAGACCCGATTCACACACACTTTGCTCTGGAAGCTGCAGGAGTCAATGTGGGTGAATTTGGGATTCAAACAAATTGAAAACATTATCTGCATGCAATTGAGTGCTGCAGGTTGAGTCTGCCTGTTTTAGAAAATCTTAGAAATCTCTGAAAGTTAATTCTATCTCAAAAAACAATTTGCAAACAAGTTTAAATTCAGTTCAAAAAGAGAAAGTAAGTAAGTAAGTATGCATTAAAAATAACCCAGGCACAATTTAGGGTTCATCTTTACGCTAATGAAACTGCAGTGAACTGGTTTACGCCTCTTCTTCTCAGTTTAATTCTGAATCTGAATTGCTTTTCCAGACATTATTGCATGAATTTAAATTTACAGTGAAGACATTTTTGCTACTTCGTTTCAGTAAATTTCCACCTAAACAAGGAAGGCACTCCAAAGTCAGCAGAGACTGAAACGATGTTTTAATGTACCGATTAAATAAATGTCTTGAATACAGTGCACAAGAATCTCCTTTTTGAAAGATATTGAGCTCCTTTCTGACACAGAAAAACTGGAGGGAAGTATTTTTCCTTAATTGCTGGCAAGTAAATTTCCTGATATGTGATTTTTTTGAACAAACTCATCGAGGTGGAAACAGATATAACTTACGTACTGAAGACTACAGAGCAACAGTGGGGCATAGGAGATGTTTTTTCTGTGTTTTTCCACTGTGGAAAAAAGGAAGGATTATACTGTATCTTTTACAAAAATCCTCAATGAAGGAGAGGGAGAGTAGTTAAGATCGTAGAACCATACAAAACAACTACATCCCATCTTTTTTGGGCTGACTTAATGCTGTGAAATATATTTATATTTATGTTCATGTGTACAGTTAAGCATCAATATTTAGCAAGGCAAATTCCTATGTGAAAATGTACCTGGCAATAAACCTCATTATGATTCGGATTCTGATTAGGTGTAATGGAGCTAAATAAGCATTTAGTTGAGCAAAATCCAATGAGACAATCAGTATAACAAGCTGGTTTCTATTAAAGGAGACCTATTAAACCTATATTGTAGTTCTGTGACTCCTGTATGGCAGCTTTGCATGATTCAAAGTTAAAAATACTTATACTTCATGTAGCTACAGCGTCCACTGTGCTGACTTTTGCCGGCCGAGCAGGCTAATTTACAGTTTAGCGCTCTGCTAACGGGAATGAGGGTATTGTAAACGAGCGTCTGGTGTAGCCTTTTCAAATGTTACGGACCGAGTGGATCACATTCTCATCGTGTTGTGACGGTCAAATATATTGATCCACCGTGTTACAGCCGCTGTTTTAGCTGCTAGCAAAAGTTACTTCAAAGCATGGGGCACTTCCTGTCGGCTCTGAGGCATTGCGAGGCTACCCAGCTAACCAATCACAGAGCTTACTGTCTGCGTTGCCTCGACGTGTAGTTACATTTTTGAGGAGGTGCACGTCAGGCTACGCCGTAGGTGACGGCGTAGGGTAGGGGGCTACGCAGAGGCCACGCCGTCCATTTGACGCAGAAGTATAAATTGCACTTAAGGCCCCCCCTCTCAAAGCCCACTGTCTTCTGATTGGCCAAGACCTGAAGCATGTTACCAGGCTGTTGTTGTTGCTGGGCAGAACAGACAGACTGAGCCGTTGCTATGCCCATATATGGAACACCAGCTCCTTCTGGCTCAGTAATAGGTAGAACGGAGCTCTTGGTAGGAAAAGCAGTTCAAAACAGAGCATTCAGAACAGGAGGAAATCTGAGGTTTTTGCTCACAGGGATTTCTTTTAAATACTTTAACCTCATTTTTAGAAGCTTTGGCCATGTTTAACATGAACATCCAACATTGTAGGTAATAGGTCTCCTTTAAAATAAGATGCTAGTCTGTAGGAAGTGGATTTGAAACAAAAAGGAAAGTGTGAAAGGTGAAGACATTAGGACTGGCATGGAATGAACAATGTGCTCAGATGTTTGAAGAATGTCTGAGCATCCTCCTGCCTTCAGACTGGCTGCAGACGGGAGGAGTGGGCCCTGGCCGGCCCTGCGGCCCCAGTGGCCCTGAGGTTAAAGCCCCCTGCAGTCGACAGGTCTGGCTCTGAGAGACTGTGAGGGAGAGGAGGAGGGAGCGGTTAGACCCAGCTGTCTGAGTCAGGCCACACAGACACTAATGACCCATTTCCAGGAACCCAGGACTCTCTTTAGAAATTCAGGACCCTTACCTGTGTTTCAACTGAAGGAACCCAGGTTTACATTTAGTACTTTTGCCACAGTCTCCATGATCCCTGTTCTGAGGGTAGCGTTTTCTGATGGCCTAGGATCTACTGGGGCTAAGCTTGCAGCACTACACTAACATCCTCAGTTTATGTCCAGCTTTATTTAGACACACAGTAAGGAAATACTGGTTTCAACCAGGATCATTCATCATTTTATACTCTAGTTAAGTTTTACAGAGATAACACTTGCAGGCTGAATTCCAGGAAATGTGTTCAAAATATCTAATGCAAGGATGCTGCTTCAAGAACATGTTTTCCTTCATCTGAGTTAAATCTGGTAAATAGGCTAGTGTTCCGCTGTTATGCATTGCTTCAGACAAAACTCTCCATCTATGTCAAACAAAATCTTTACTAACTAATTTTGTATTACAGTTGTATTACAATTCTGCTGATAAATTTGATCAATTTAATCAGATCAAATCAAACAATTACACATTACCATTCTACTGAAAATTTATACATGATGGTGCTAAATTATCTCCCACAGCCCTTGTTAGAATATTTCACCCTAAGCATCCTTGGGACACACATGAGTAAAATGCAGAGGGTTTGACACGGTGTATATTTTCAGGATGTAAAGAAGTGAAGTGTTTTTCATTTCTCTTTCAGGGGTAGAAGTATTTTGTTAGAGAACAGCAGAATTAGAGTGGGAGGTCTGGGATCTATCACGCTCCATACTCTCCTGGTTTTACAAGCTTCTCACAGGGAAGCTGGGCTACGAGTTAATCTCTTG